TGATTTGCGAACTTAACTTTTCCATTATCAAGTTTATTAGCTCTCAAACTAACCAGATAAGTCACTTGTAGGGGCAAAGAGGGAGGCTGAGGACCGAATTGTTCCACGCAGTGTTGATGCTGATGATTCTGATGTGGAAGTCGAAAGTGACAATGAAAGGTTCTACTCCTTGCCTTTATTCCTGCTTTTAATGCTGGCGCAATTAATACACTGATAGTTGAATTCTTGAAATTTTGTGGGTGGTTTAGAAGGTTGTTCTAACATATAGTACATCATTGTGTTAGTGATGATGAAGATGATGATGAGGATGATGAAGAAGCTCTGTTGGCTGAGCTTGAACGAATAAAGAAAGAGAAGGCAGAGGAGAAACTCCGTAAGGTAAACACTATATCATCCAATGATATATCGTCTTGTTTGCTGTATTATTCTAGAGCTTCTGACTATTAGATAACTTGCTGTGGATTCTCTAGCTGTAGAATGTATTATTGAAGTCATTTCATTAGTAATGATAGATATGCCTCATGCTCATGCAGGAAAAACTAGAGCAAGAAGAACAGCTAAAAGCCAAGGAAGCTGAGCTTCTGCGAGGAAATCCACTGCTCAATAATCCAACATCTTTTGGTGTAAAAAGAAGGTGAGTGAGTGGTTTTAAAGATCATACTTCCTGCAAGGGTTATTTAAGTAAACCCTGGCATTCTAAACGGGCTAAGTTCTTCCTTAATTTGATTGTTTTTATGTGGTCCAGGTGGGATGATGATGTGGTATTTAAGAACCAGGCCCGTGGTGAAACCAAGACCCAAAAGCGCTTCATTAATGACACCGTAAGGAATGACTTCCACAGGAAATTCCTGCAGAGATATATGAAGTAATTCACTTGAATGCGCAAGCAATTAGGGAATTAAGTGAAACTTTTCATTGTTTGTGTATTTCTAGTGGAATTGAAGATGGTCTTACTTTTCCTGTAAAATGTGATGTTCAGTGTTAAACATATATCTCCAATGGGTTTGCTGTTTGTCTTTTAGTGATGGATATGGCACTGATAGATGTATTTCTTGAATTGGTTAAGACCTATCAAGGACTTCTTTTACTTTTCATAGACTTTCCTCTTTGGTGTTTCTTTCATTGTACAAAGTGGAATTCAAAAAATGAAAATTAGGAAAAAATTACACATGCTCTCAACTCAAACATTGGCCTCAGAGGTTCTTACATGGTTAAATACAAGAAAAATGTACAGTTCTTTGTGAACAAACTGCTACACACAAAACAGGATACATAACAAATGCCATCTGTTCCTTGAGAGAAGTTGACCAATGTGGCAATGTCCTAGTCCAATCTGAATAAGAATTATTATAAATAAATAAAAATTGAATAAACACAAGCTTGAAGGTTGAAGCACTGTTGAACTGGCAAAAGAATTGTCCTTGGAACAACTGTTTCTGTTAATATACATAAGCTTCTCCACATGGAAGCAAACCTATCGAAGGAGATGGCATTGTTTCTAGTCTTGTTTCTTTGGTTCTTCCAGGACAAATTCAGCATAGAGATCCTTCAAAGCAATTACAACTGTCGTGATCAAGGGGCCCATAATTGCTCCCTGTTGGAAGGAGAGAACCATTCAAAACTCAATGGCCAACATAGAACACAATATGCATCAAGAAGAAAAAGATGGAAAACAACCAAAATCATAGTATTTCATGTAACTAGGAACCCTTTTACCTAGATTATCTATTCAGTTTACGTCTAAGGTGAATGTCACTTCAGAATTGTTTGATGAAAGGATGAAAAAGCTCACATTGTGCTATTTTGGGAGAGCAAATGAAGGTTAAAAAGATCAGGAAAGGTAAAACACAAGGAAATATATTGTTAAAAAGTTACCTCAATTGCAGAAGGGAACAATGTCATTCCACCAATGATGCTAAGCCCTGTTAGATATGCACTGTAACCAGGTATATCCTCCTGAATTTCAGATGTGCCATAATCCATAAGAAAAATATGAATAATGGAGAAGGTCAAAGCTAGTATGTATCTACTTTCCAGCAGCAGCTGTGTAGCTGCAGGAATTGTTGCAAACCAAGGTGGAAAGATTGGCAGCAAGGGGCTGATGAAAGCAAGCACTGTTGACATGTACACAAAGTGTATTTTGTATAGTCTAAAGAGAAGCCATGTAAGACATCCTTGAAAGAATGCAATCTCAGCTGTAGCCAAAAGCACACCAGATATAGCATTATCAAGAACTTCAACACATCTAAACCTAGCTGATTTTGAGATTGGAATCATGGACATCACTTGTTCTGTTACCCCACCAGATTCTGATGTGATAAGGTAGTATAGAACCCAAAAGAACACCATCATCTGAGATACAAAATTGAAGACCTCAGCAGCTCCTGAGATGATGGAATTGCCAATGATGAGCATGATTTTGGCACCTCCACCTAAAACAGATGCACCACTTGCAAACACCTGTTTTGAAACATTTGCCCCTTTAACAGCAAACCCTTTAGCCTTCTCAACCAAATCCTCCCGTGTGATTATCAATTCTCGGAAAATGGCATCCACTTCTGTGTAGATTTGTCCCCATTCTCGATTGCTAACCCTCTTCCTCAAATTCAAAAGCTTCTCTGTGTAAGGAGAAGGGGTCATCAAAGCTGTTGATTCTGCTGATGAACTAGTCTGAGAAGTTATAACAAAATGCTTAATTCCTGTCACAAACTCTGTAATGTTATACTGCATTGCCAGACTATCAATCTGCTCAGACACTGTCTCATAGATTTGTGAAGTGTACTGGTCCACCATTCCAGGGACATCATTCTCTTCCATCCACTTTTTAACACCAATCCTCTCAGCATAATTACTCTCTTCCACATGAGCTTTCACTGAAATCACAGCATCTTTTCCCTCAACACCAATCTTATATGAGAAGAATGTAGCTCCAGCAAAGAACCCCACAATCATACCGATCATCAATCCAATAGCCACAATGGTATTCAACCTTTTCAATATCCCACGCGTGAAATACGCACTAATTGCACTTCTCCCGAAACTAGTACTCCTAAATGATGAAACAGCAGACAATGTAGAGTCCACATTTTTAGTACTAATCATGAATCCCAACACAATTATTACCAATGACCCAACACCACCAATTCTCTCATACGCAATCACAAACACAGCAAAAGACACTAACCACCTAACTAACTTAGAAAATCCACTTCTATTACGCCTTGAAACAGTAGATTTTGGTCTTTTAAGAAAGACCCTCAAACAAACATCCTTAATATCAACAAGGGTACCTATAAAAGCCTTAAAGACAGCAACAGGAACGGCAAGAACAGTCTCAGTGAGGCCTAGTTTCAGAGGTTCACTCCAGAATCCCAAAAGGGTCTCTTGTATACCTCTCAAAGGAATCGAACACAAGATTGCCCATTGAATTGGCCTAAGATACTCTTGCAAAAGCTTGCAAATTCCATATAAAATGAATATGGTGAAGGCAAGACCAGCATGAGCCATGGCTATGTAAAGGGCCAACCGTACCTGGGGATCACCTGAGAGGCTGTTTTTGTGGTCTGGGTCGATGGAGTTCGGCGCCATGGGTGGCGCGTGGTCTTGGTTTGGGGGCGCGTCGCTGTTGCCCGGTGCTGGGGAAGGCTTCCTTATCGATGCAGATCGGAACATGTCTTGCCATGGAAGAGTTGTGGAGCTTGTTTTCGTTTCTGGTTCACTTGAATATGGAACTAACTCCATTTCCAGGACAGTTTTGTACACAGCAAGATCGTGCCTTTGCAGAAGAGAGAGAGACAGATAAAAGCGGGCTCCTTTAGAAAGAGAAAGACGAGGACGATGACCAATCAGGAACTGACACTGAAGCAACGGATTAGATAGAGAACAAGATTTTTTCTGTTGATGAACGGTAAGAGAAGAGAGAGAAAGAGAATGACAGGAAGAGAGCAGCTGGAAGTTTTATTTTATGGTGTCAGTGACTTTTTTGACTACAACTATGTGTAGGTTCCATGAATGACTGGAAGGGCTTTGTGGGGATTGTATCAATTTATGTGTACGTACCAAACTGCAAAAGTTGAAAGGCTTTTTTTATGTCATGTTGTGACCTTCATGACCTGTATTTGCATTGCATGTGTCCCACACTTACTGCCATAACTTTCCTTCTTATTTCCTTTGTTAGAAGAAAAGTGGGTTATTATTTTCTTAATCAGGAAGTTCCATATAGCAGAAGGAAAAGTGGGTTATCATTTTCTTAATCAAAACATGTTGCATGTTTGTAGATTCTTTCATCACAAGTATACGGTCGACAGGGATGTATTTACATAGACTATAGATAATGTACAAATTCTTTAACCAAGGATAGTAATTTTATCCAATTTTCTTTTACAGATAACTGATGCAGCAGGATGGCTGTAAATGACAGATACTTGAACACTTTTGAAGCAAAAAGAAGGTAGAGTTAAAGTAGTCAGGGCCAGCATGTATTTGAGATCAGTAGGATGGGAAAGTGCAGTTTTAGTGGAGAACAGGTAATGTTAGGAAATCCATAGGATTGTCGTTTTCCAGTTTGTACTGGTATCTTCCTTGTTCCGCGCATTTCAGTCTGGTTTAGCGCTTTCGAGGTGAGGTCATCCTTCAATGGATATTTTTATAAAGGTTTCTGCTGGGCCACTAGAATCAATTTCAGCCATCAGATAACATGGAAGGTAATGTGGCAGACATCTAAAACACCTATGGCCTGCAACTATTGGTGTTTTAGTTCATATGCATGAAACTTTTTCTACAGTTAAACTTATTTTTCACCGACAAGAAATCCCTTAATCAAAGACCCAAAGTGAAAAGTTAATGACAAGATTACTTTTAGAATCTTTGTTAATCCTTGACTACAAGTTCCTGCATTCCTTTTCTTTTGTTGATCGAAAAGCTAGGAATGCAAAGATTACAGGAAGCTGTTACTCAAAGGCCCCTCAAACATCTCTATTGTCAGCAGTTGTGGAAGCTGCTCAAAGATGACACCCATTTATTCTCTTGTGCAGGCAAAAGTAAGCACACAGGCGGTAGCCGAGTGCCATGGCAAGTAAAACCCATACTTCTTGCAAGCCACCATCAAGGTTAACTGTGTCAAATGAAGGTGAATTCTGCAGAGTCCGGCAGCCACCTTTGCTTTGACATTCATATAACTGGTCTCCAGAGTATTGCACTTTCAACAGAAGCCTAAAGCCATAGTACATAAAGGATAAGTACTTCATCCACTGCATAAATTTTGGTATGTGCTGCAAACAAAACAACATTCTATATATCTTAGTCATCTTATCACAGCTGCAATTATTTGTTTTTCAATGAAGACTTGAAAGCAAATTATAATAGTAGTCTTGTAGTACCTGAACGTAGTAACCTCCCGTGAGAAGAAACAACATCAATATTAAAGAGGCAATCATCCCAGCCCTTTTAATACTCAAAACTGCAGCTCCAAATAGCTCTCCTGCCCCCTTATTTTTTGATTTGGGTAATGAAGATTTCATTAGTTTAGTAAGACTACAAGAAGACCTTTCTACTTCTAATAAAGGCCTATTATCTGGGAGTGCTTGACTTACTTGGCTTATAACAGCTATCAACAAGATGGTAAACAATGTCAGGAAGAAGCAAGGGACGGTTCTCTTAAAGCCAGCCATGAAGTACAAAATCAACATAAAAAATGTAGGATAGAAAACATGTGCCACCATGTCACAAAGAGTGCTGCATACATAGTATACACTTAATCTGTACATGTCTGCTTTCCTTTCTTTCACCAAATAGACCTTTTCGAAAGGAAAAACATATACTGCTCCAAATAGTGATGAAGATGTCCAGAAAATGCAGATGTAGAACAGCAGACCAACCTGAAATAAAGAATGGAAATAAAGGAATTTATACATATTGCCTGAATAATGTAATAGGATTAATGATTTAATATAATGGGGAGATGGGAATGTTACTTGATCCCTCAGCTGAGCCTCGGTTGCAGCACTGGATTTCCACCAAAGAAGGCCTAGCAAGACTGCAACTCCTACCGATTGTACTAGTCTTAGCTTATCAAAGTAATCCCTCCGCCTCTCTCGAAAGGTTCTTTTAGATATTATCATGAACTGTTCCCACCAGGTCATTGTCCAGTCTTTCTTAACTTGAACAGCCAGTCTAAGATGCTCTGGTGCCTTGGTACATTGATGATTCTCTTCCTTTTCTTTTGGCTCCAAAAGAGTTTTGTATTTGAGTTGAAGATACTAATATAATGTAAAGACAAAACAATGTTTGAGATGGAGAAAATGAAACAAAGAAAGAGATTAAACAATTAACTAAATTGTTGGAGTCTAAAAGCATTTATACTTTGATTACAGCCCCGTCAGAATCAGCGGTTCCTTGAGATGCCACCAAATCTTCAGGGAGAGTTATGTCATTCACTTGGCCAGTTGCTAAATCGAGCAAGAACTCCGCGGGATTCATTGCTATTTCAGGGATGAATCTCAAAGTCGAAAAATACTCCATAGACTCTCTTGCCTTCCCACAGTAAACAGGGTAGCCTTCTGATATCAACAGCAGTTTGTCAAACATGTGAAACATTCTGCTAGATGGCTGGTGAATTGTTGTGATAACAGTTCTGCCTGCCTGTAGACCATAAAGCACAATCTTTACTCATTTTTTATATGGGAACGTGTAGTATTTTGTAGATATTTTGGTCAAATGATGGATTATAAGTGCACTAACTTGGGATACCTTAGCAACTCCTTGAAGAATTTGAAGAAGTTTATTGGCTGAGGTGGAATCAAGACCTGAGGTTGGTTCATCAAGCAACAACAATGAAGGATCAACAAGAATTTCATAGCCAATACTAGTTCTTTTTCTTTCTCCTCCTGATATTCCTTTGACCAATCCTCCCCCAATTCTTGTGTGACGACATCTGTAGTTTATGCAACAGATCAATTAGAATAAGGTAAGTCATGATCTTCCATCTGAAAGGTCTCCAGATTACTCCTATGTGGTACATATACCTTTCAAGACCTAGCTCCTTCATAATCATCTCTACTTTTGCATACTTCTGTTGCAGGCTCATGTCACTAGGAAGTCTCAGAAATGCAGAAAAAACTAAGGTTTCTTCCACTGTTAGTTGAGGGAGCAATATGTCATCCTGTGTCACAAATCCAATCCTGCGAAAGAAGGAACACATTGAAATCTATTGAATGCTAGAAATAAAAGCTTCTGTAAAAACTGGCTAACCTTCGCTTAAGAGCCGGATTGTAAGGAATGTCATTGTATGTTATACTTCCTTTAACATTATCTGTCAATCTTCCTCCTATTATCTTTAACAAGGTTGTCTTGCCACTACCAGAAGGACCCATCAGAGCAAGGACTTCACCAGGACCAGTGCTGCCTGTTATACCCTTCAGGATCTCCTTGTATTTATCTTGCTCCAAGTTCAGTTGTGAGGCTACCTTTGACACCACTGCCTTCACTGGGTTGATGCAGGCGGCTTGCCTGTTTTTAACCTTATACTCCACATCCTCAAACTTCATTGTGAATTTAGGAAAAAGATCATGAAAACTGTATTTTACGACAAACAAAAGAAAAGAAAGAAGATCAACAAAGAAAACCTGATTACTACCTTAAGAAAGATTGGGAGAGGGTGATCTTTATTAGCATACACAGTGTAGTCCTCTATGTCGATCCCTGAGTACCTGTTTCTAAGGTAAGCCTGGGACATGAACTCTATGTTATGACCAAAACCATTGCTTCCTGCAATCTGCATAGACCCCATTGTTGGAGGTGACAATGGCATGTCCTGAATTTCACCCTCTTTTCCAGTTTCCATGTTTAAAGACAATTCCCTTGAACCTTAGTTATAGCTTGTGTATATATGTTGGGGGTGGTGAGTCGAGTGAATCAACTGTGATGAACCAAATGCTTGCCTATATATTAAGGAAGAGTGTTGGCTGGTAAGCCACATGCTTTCCATTCCATGCCTGGCCTTGTTTTATCTACCATAGCCAGCAGAACATGCCAAGAATATGAATTGCTTCATGTCTTTTTACTTTTTACTTATTTACTTAGTCAACCAAGATTGCAACTTTACCGGAAGTAACATGTTGCATATACTATGTTAACAGTTACCCGGAGTCGCAACCGAGTCACACCAAACGACGACGTCTATGTTTCCACCATCAAAACGACAGAGTTTTGAGTTTTCTTGAGATACCATTTGCCTTTCTCTTTCTTAAAAAAGGGTCAAGCTTTCTATCTCTTTTTTCCAACGACAATGGAAGGGTCTCAAGAGGTTACCCTCGACTCTTTGGGGAGCTTCGGGGTTTCGATCCCAGAAAACGTTTCGTCGTTTAACGACTTAACTCCGACGACGCTGATTTCCATCTGTTGCCAATCACTTAACCTCCTCGGAAACATCAAAGACGAATATGGAAACGACATGCCGTTTCCCAGTTCAGTTGAAGGTTCTGTCTCAATGGATGACAGGTTCAAGATTTGTTCGGACATCTCACTGGCTTTTAAGAATCTGGGTTATGTTGGTGACATGAACTATTCCAAGGTAGTGTAATTCTTATAACTTCAAAAAGATTACACTTTTTCTTTTGTTTTTTTCATTTAAGTGAAATTTGGAGCTGAATTTAAGATTGGGTTGGTTTATTTTTGTTGATTTTAGGGTAAAGTTATAAAATTTTCGATCTTACAGTTAGAATTTCTTGTTTATGATGGCTTTAGCTGAAAGATTTAACTTTATAGCTGAATTGATTTGTGAAGCTGAATTATGCCCTGAAAAAGGAAACTTTCTTTAGCTTAATCCAGATTTATAGCCTTAATTCACATTAGGAGGGAAGTAATATTTGTTTTCTCAGGTGGTATTTAGGTCGTTAATACCTCACAGTAATATAACTTAAAGGCCATAGTTCTAGAGAAACTATGTTGTTTAACCTTTCTGCATCTTCTTTCTTTTCTTCTGATTTTGGTTGTTGTTATTCTTATTGTTCAGAAATTATGCTTAGAACAAATTATATGTGTTGCTTACGGCAGTTCTTGTATCCATCAGAGGAGGACTCGTATAAGTTGGTAAGGTTTTTGGTGGAGAGGCTTTCGGGTTCATCTGAAGCTGTAAAGTTTTCTGGGAAAGGGAATGTTGGTATGAGACAGAATAACTCTGAGAAGATTTCGGAGTACTTTGCTCAAGAGCCTGATAGTGAAGAGGTAGATCTAAATCTTCAAAAAGTTGAAGCCATCTTGAAAGATCTTAGAGTAGGTGAATTGTTGGAACCGTCCAGTCTCAAGACAGATGATGCACCTGTAGCTGTCAATGACCCCCTTAGGGCGCATGGTATGCCACAGAATGAGTTATTTAGTGAGTCAACTGCAGAAGCTGTGGAATCAAGAAGTGGTGCAATTGAAAATGAAGAAACTGCAGATGAGAAAGACGATGGACGTGTTTCAACTTCTCGCAAAGAGTCTGAGGTGCATTTGTTTGACTAATCTAAATTTTAAGTATATATTGGCTTCAATTAGGTGCTGCATTCGTATAGTTTATAACATCAGTGTTAAACTATAGTGTCAAAGAAAATTAAAAGGCTATGGAAGCTACAAAATAATTTACTAGTGTATCTTACATTTCTTTTTATTTAAAAAGGTAGGTCTTAACAGGATTAAAAACAATAAAATATTCATTGTTCTGTGTATGTCTGATATCCATTGTTTTACCAGATACAATATGAAGCAGAAAACTTGCTATCTCAAGAAAAGGTGCTGAAGGATGAATTAAGTGCAAGTGCTTTACAAGTGCAGCATCTTGAGGAAGAGTTTGGATTGTGGAAGGCAGCAGCGGATACGGCATTTGATGAGAGTCATCCTATGGAGTTCTTCTTGGAGCAGCTTAACGAGCAAGTTGATGCCAAAAGGCATAATATTAGGGAATTGGAGTCACAGTGGTATAATAACATCATTCACATCAATCGTGTTGTGCTTTTCATGGTCTCCCTTTTCATTATTCATGGAAATTGATGCAAGTTAGTACTAAGAAAGAGTCCCAAATATGCAATCACAAGAAGAGTCCAATATTGCAATAGAATACTAGCAGCAGTGTCAACTTGGCTTCTTTTTTCCTCTGCAGGGATGCTTTCCGGAACCCTCTTGAACAGAAGAAGAGAAGTTTGGAGGAATGTCTATACGCAAACAATCCAGGGGCTCAAGAGAAACTCCAAAAGTTGAGAGACATTGAGCTGGATATGCAGTTTACCTTATCTGAAATTAGGAAAAGGTAGATTATTGGAACCAAAGTATAGTATCTGTATATATTTGAACTTTGTTGTCGTTACCAAAAATAAAAAACAAATCTCGAGGATATTTTTATCATTGCTTTTGTCTGCAAGATGAAACAGTATAATCTTTGTCATTTCCAGCTGTAGGGTCTACCACCTTCTAAGAAATCTCCTCTTCTACTGGAATCCTATGCATATCTTGCTAATCAAACTGGAGCTATTTGATGATGTCTCCAATTTTATTAGAGACTCGATAGTTTGCTGTAAAAATTTTACAAGAGAAATTTGCCCAAATGTCTACTCACTGTCATATGATTCAGCTTTTACACAATCCATAACTTAGTCTGCCTCGTCTTATAGTTTATATCTTGTTGATTCTATAGGGAGGAGGAACACTTAGAACTTTCAGCAGACCTCAGGAAGCAGCCCAAAATAGCATCTAGGAGATCCTATACTGAGAGGATAAAGGAGATCACAAAGAACAGTGGCAAACTAGACGCTGACATAGAACGCATCTTAAGAGATACTAGGGAGCTTCAGTTAGAAAGCAATTCCATTCAGGAACGCCTTCATCGTGCCTATGCCGTTGTCGATGAAATTGTCTTCAGGTATGAACTGACTGCTATTGCAGCTCTTAGCTTACTCTCCTTTCCCAGCATTGCAGCCTTACTGAAGGCAACATAGTGAATGAAAGTGAAACTATATGCTGGTTTTTTCCTTAAAAAGTTAATGTTTATATGCAGGGAAGCAAAGAAAAACCCTGTTGGGCGACAGGCTTATAGGCTGCTCACTAGCATACATGAAAGCTTTCAGCAAATCTCTGAGAAAATTCTCGCCACTGATAGAATTCGAAGAGAAATGGCAGACCATGAAAAGAAACTAGCAGCCATGGCTTCCCGAAGCTTAAACGTAGACAAGGTACAAGCTGATCTGGATGCCATTGTGAAGGAAAATGAGTACCTGGGGCGGCAACTTTATGACAATTGAACCTATTTCTGGACACTAGAATCCATTCTTTTTACTGAAGGTGTATATTGTCTTTACTTGGTTGTAACCATACTTGAGTTTTGGTATTCAGACACAGAAAGTTGTAATCATCATAAAATTTGAACAACAAAATTGCAACTGTGGCCATCATTGGACACTTTGTTTGTCTTGTTTATTTTTGTACCAAATTCTCATAAATTTGTTAAACAAATTGGAATCGAAAAACAGTGACGCCACCAGCCTGGTTGAAACTGTATCATATGCCCCATTCACATCTAAATCATTGGTAATTTTAGCCCATTTGTCAATGGAAGAGCTGTTTGATCAAGATTGAGGAGTGCCATGAGCCACATTCATTCAAAGGGTATTGATTTTGTTGGTCTAGCTTGCCCTAGAGTTGTTCCTCGTGGAAAGTGTCTTGGAAACAATTCTCTCTGCAGAATTGACATCAATCTACTATTTAAAACATTAAATAACATTTCAAGCTTAGTTAACCAAATCAAATACTAATTAACATGAACAATAGTGTCAAAATCCATTTCACATCAGTTTTTCTGCTTGTTTTCCAAATTTATGGAATCAGAGATGCGTACAAGCTTGGGATGCGTATATTGGCAGCATGGATGTTGCATGAGGTAGGCCTTGCCTTGGTTGTTGCATGAAAGAGTGGGGACAGGCAGAAACCTGACCTTTACCTTCCATTGTTGAAACATCAATTTTATTCAATTGGATTCTTGAAATGGAAGCATATCACTTTCACTCAACATCTGTTAGTTTTTGGCCATTCACCAATTACTAGTCCATTAAATACTATGTCATCCAGGGTATGATACTTGCTAGTGGCTAAAGCCTAAAAGGCAAAAGCCCCACAATTTCCATCACTCTCTGGCCTCTTCCAGGCCATTTCTCTCTCCGTTAAAGGATCAGCTACCACCCATGAATATGCATCTGGAGTAGTTAAAAGAAACAAGGTTTTTAACAATGAATGAATCCAACCCATGAAAGTTCTGATCCTGCAATTTGCACAAGCAATGTGGCATCAAACCAAGGAAGTTGCCTCCATATCCTGGACAGCTACACCATGGGATTGTTATTGGCTCATTTCTCGAGAGTACTTAACGGTCCTAGATGCACATAGATTGACTGTTTCTTGCCTAAAAACAAATTTAATAAATGATGTTTCCTTAACTTCTCCGGAAACCCATATCAGATCATGAAAAATGATACAGGTATGTACCATCATTGGGGTCTTTTGCAGTAAGACGTTCTGACATGTGGCAAGATGTTATCAGTCTATTGTTAGGTGCGCGCTCATAGCAATATCTCATCTTATAATTCAAATTTCAATTATCAGTAACTAACTTTAGTAGGACACTTGTCCATGTCAATATAAACTCTTTGTTGCATAGTTCAAAAAAAGCTTCATTTATCTTCCTCTGATTTATTATACAAAATACAACTTTTGGTTTTTCCACCTTCATCCAAAAGCTTTTCTGTCTTTTGGTAATGGGGTTCGTGTGTTAGATAGCATTGTTAGTTCATTTTGATAATAATATGTGAACCAAAACAGTTTCAGTTTCTGTGTTGGCATGGGGTGGTTAGGTTCCCTATTAGGTATAGATGGAAGAAAGTTTATCAAACGGAAAGACAGTGATGCAGGTGAAGCAGGTTTGTCTGAATCCTTAAAGCTACACTGTCATATTCATGTTTCATTCTTCATAGACAAGATGTTTTGGTTCATGATTTTCGCTTTGTTGCATTATGATTACGTTTTCCTCTGCCTGTAAACATTGCCTGAGAGGTTGTTAATATTGATCTCCTTCATTTTATTCAATGTCTGCCATGGAAATGGGTATTTTTCTTTCCTTGATTTCTGCTATACCTTCTTCATTTTTGACTTCATTGATCATGTTGTTTCTGTCTTTTGTCATGCAACATTTTGGGGTAATTAAAAAATCCATGCAGCCGGCTGGAGACAAAAGGGATTTGCTTATATGCTTGTAATTAATTAACAATTACTTGATCTTGACCCTCCTTTGTGCCACCTTCCCTACTTGGTCTCCTATTGGCTTCCATAGATGCTTTCTCAGGTCCCTTTCTCAAAAAAACATGCCCATTTTCTCTGTTATCCAAGTGATTTATCTTGTCATGAACTGCTACTCCAAAGTAATTATGCAGCCTCAGTTTTGATTGTTCTTTTCAGTGATTCATATCCTTATTACTGGTTCATCTTTTGGAATAAAGAATTGTCTCCTGGTCGTGAGGATTTAACCTTGTGTGGTTCTGGAATACAATGAATGTTTTACTTCTGCTAAATGGTCTGAAAGGTAGCCTTTTCTGCTCCTACTAATTAGCCAGCAGAGTTACTCTTATTCCTAGATCATGTTATTTTCCCATTTGAGACCTGGATTAAAATCTTAATACATATTTGGGGCTCGGATCAATCAATCACCCAATTCCCGAAAGGCTGAAGCATTTTGTCCATTCAAAATGTTCATGTTTTGTGTTCTCAATCTGCTAAATATTCTCTCTTATCTTTAAGTTGGGACAATTCTATTTTTCCAGGTAGAGCATTGGAAGAGCTCAGAGGCTCCCTCTACAATGAGCTTAGAACTTCAGAAGGAGCCAAGCGCCAACAGCAACGATTTTGTGGACCTGTGGTGGCAATGTCCTTCAATTTTGTGGTTGCTGTTGGGATTATTCTGACAAACAAATTAGTTAGTTCCCCTATCTGGTTTTTTCATACACGTGCTCTAATGTTCATTTTAGAATATTAAGCAGTGTGCATAGGTTCTTGATGGCATGGCTAGCAGCCTGAAGAACCCTCTGCTGTTTCCATTTTAGACTTTATAATACTTTACAAGATGTTCAATAAGTGTTTTATGCGAGTCAAATCTTGCTTTCAGGTGATGGGGAGAGTTGGATTCAATTTCCCAATCTTCCTAACCTTAATACATTACTCCACAGCATGGATCTTACTAGCATTTTTCAAGGCATTGGCTTTGCTTCCAGTTTCCCCTCCCTCTAAAACCGCTCCTTCTTCTTCCCTCTTCTCCTTGGGTGCTATAATGGCTTTTGCCTCCGGCCTCGCTAATACCAGCCTGAAGTATAACAGGTCTGCTAACCCAGGTTTCAACCAGCTTTCTGAAATACTAACTCTGTCATTACTCCTGTTTCCTCACCTTTAAGGTCACGTGCAGTGTTGGTTTCTACCAAATGGCTAAAATCGCAGTTACTCCTACCATTGTTCTTGCAGAATGCATTCTCTTCAGGAAAACCATTTCTTTCAAGAAGGTGAGTAGGCAATCCTCCAAGGACTCCCTTCAATTCTTTCCTGTTATTTGTGAAGAATCTACTGAGTTCATGCTTCATTCCCTTCAATCACTTTGCAGGTCTTGGCTCTAGCAGTGGTCTCCGCAGGTGTAGCAGTAGCCACTGTAACAGATTTAGAGTTCAACATTTTCGGTGCATGTATTGCCATTGCTTGGATAATCCCAAGCGCCATAAACAAAATCCTCTGGTCGAACTTACAACAACAAGCCCACTGGACAGCACTTGCGTAAGTTACTAGTAACCGCCATGTTTTTTCCTTACTGTTACATTAAACAACAAAAGTGATCCACTGAGAAAACAATTCCCCGAGTGGCAGGCTGATGTGGAAGACAACCCCCATCACAATTTTCTTCTTAGTAGCCCTGATGCCATGGTTGGATCCACCAGGAGTGCTGTTGTTCGAATGGGATCTAAACAACTCAACTGCTGTTCTCATCTCAGCTCTACTCGGTTTCCTCTTACAATGGTCTGGTGCACTGGCTTTAGGGTGAGTGCAGAACCAAGTTTTAGACACCATTCTTTTCTGGTGTTTTTTTTTTTTTTCTGTTGGTTTGAAGCAACTAATGGCAGGCTTCATGTTTTTTCTTGTAGAGCAACATCTGCAACCTCTCATGTCGTGTTGGGACAATTCAAAACCTGTGTGATCCTTCTCGGAGGGTATCTGCTTTTGAATTCGGACCCAGGGTTTGTGAGCCTTTGTGGAGCTGTTGCTGCTCTCTGTGGAATGTCGGTTTACACATCACTGAATTTGAAAGAGTCGAATGACAGTTCAAGCAAGCAGCTTCCAATGCAGAATCCTCCACCAAAAGCCAAAATCAGTGACAATGTCAGTGTCAGTGAAGACTCAACAGTAACAAATACTAATGTTGTGTAAAAATGTAGATAAAAGGAGGAGGAGGAGGAAGACAACACTACAAAGGAACGGGGGAAAGACAGCAAAACAGAAAAAGGGCAAAACAAGTCAGCAACATATTTCCCCACCAGACATTACCCTAATAAACCTGATATGCCTTTAATATTTACACTCCAAAAGGCAGGCCAGAGTTTCACCCTTCCCAGAGTTGCTCCATGTGTTTCAACTTTGCATCCTTGCAAGTTTATAAACAGTTCTGTAATTAGTGTTCCAATTTACCCGTGCATATTCAGTATTTAACAGTTATAAACCCAAAGTGCACTGAAGTCCTCACCCAAAAACACTATCAGCTCAGAAGAGCCTGAAAACAGAGCTTATCAACACAAAAAGGAAACACAGCTGGCTAAAAAGAATCATAGCATATTCATCTTTACACTTTGATGTAAAGTGTCATATCAACACATGACACCATGTGAGGCTATACAGTATATATAATGAAAAGTAAATCTAGAATTGATTTGTAGCTAGCTAAGGTCGATATTAAGAATCATGGTTAGCTTCTCATCAACCAATTCTTTGAATATACATAAATAGAAAGGCAATTACACAAGGCTGAGAAGACCCAAATTTACAAAGAAAACCAACTCTACAAGAGAAAAGCGCGTATAAAATCTTAATAATTATAATAATAACAAAAAATAAATAAAAACAGAAACACTAAGACTAATAATCATGATTTGCTATGGGCCTTCTTTCCATGCATTAAACTTGGAATCTCAGAGGCTGCTTTCCATTCTCGGGGCCTTCTTTTTTTAGGGATGCATGAGAATTGTCTCAGAACCTGTTACATTTTATTTCTAGTGTCGAGAAATAGGTTTAATTGTCTCATGGTTGTTGCTCCAGGTACTCATTTTCCTTCACAATGGCATCAAGATCAGCTTGTAGGTAGCTTGTCTACATTTAAGCTTCCAGAAGCCATGGCTCGTAGTTTCTTTCAATGGTCAGCCATTTCTCTTTGAATTCTATCAGTCGGAAGAATTTTCTTAGAGATTTGCTCAAAGCTTTCATGTATGCTAGTGAGCAGCCTATAAGCCTGTCGCCTGACAGGGTCTTTCTTTACTTCCCTGCATATAAACATCAACTTTTAAAGGAAACATATTTTCACTTTCATTTACTACATCACCTCCAGTGAGGTTGCAATGATGGGAAAGGAGGGTAAGATAAGAGCTACAATAGCAGTCAGTTCATAGTACCTGAAGGCGTTCCTGAATGGAATTGCTTTCTAACTGAAGCTCCCTAGTTCCTCTTAAGATGCGTTCTATGTCAGCATCTAGTTTGCCCACTGTTCTTTGTGCTCTCCTTTATCCGCTCAGTATAGGATCTCCTGGATGCCACTTTGGGGCTGCAGAACAATAAGAATAGCAACAACCAGAATCAAAAGAAAAAGAAAGAAGATGCAGAAAGGTTAAACAACATAGTTCATCCACAACCATGGCCTACTGCAAATGCAAGCTGCCAAAAGGTTTTCGCTGTTGTCAGTAAATGAAACTCCATGGATGGAATCTAAGGCAGAACAGTGAAAACTAGAGCAGAAAAGTGCGATGAAATTTAGAGGGAGGATGCAGCTCTATATAGGCAGATTCCAAGCCTTTTTTTTTTTATGGGTTGTGGGCAGTTGGCCACCTACTCCAACCAAGTTGTTTCCAAATTATAGTATTATTAGGTGTTAAAAGGATCATGGCTTGATGAACTCTTTTTAAAGTTTATGAAAATACTGTAAAAATCTACAAACCCTTTCTAAAGTTTCAATTATGATATAGAAATTAAGCAAATTTATTCTCAAAAGAAAAAAGAATTGAATGAAAATGGCTCATAACAAAACCAATTCTCTTTGCAAGTACTTTATCATGTGTGCTTCTTTTGATGGCTCAGTGAGTTGGGAAAAAAAAACAAAATCATTGCACAGCTGATGGCTCAACAAATAAAGCAAATGAGGCTGGGGCTATTCATTGTTGCATGTGCAACAGTAAATCAAGAATCTCGTTTGGTCCTACTTCTTCCCTCTATAGCTTGCTTTTGCTTTTCATAAGATGGAAAGAGGCATGTAGTGGTTCCACTCCTGTCATGGTGACCCCATAACCTATAACAGATTCTTGGTCATCAACACAACACTATTCTCACATCATCTAGATTCCTTGTTTCATGCAAATTATAAAAAGGGTATAGCTTGCTTTTGCTTTTCATAAGATGGAAAAAAGCAGATAGTGGTACCACTCCTGTCATGGTGACCGCATAACCTATAACACAGATACTAGGTCATCAACACTATTCTCACATCTCCATTACATTACATTTTAGAGCTACTATTGGCTGGCATGCATATCTCGCTCCATGTGTTTCTACGTTGCATATTCAGTATTCAACAGTCATAAACCCGTCCTGCAGTGCAGTCTTCACCAAAAAAACCATCAGTTGAGAGGAGCCTGGAAAACAGAGCTTATCAACACGGAAGTAACTAAGCACAGCTGGCTAAAAAGAATCATCAAAGCATATTCAGTGCTACCACGTGGGTACCTGATACCTTATCAATTATACCGTCAACTCACCCCGCAATGCTGTATACATAGAGGTGCATCCCGACTGTTCTGGTTCAGTAATTAGTGGCTCAACAATATTTACCCGGATGCATACAAAACTTAAGGTGAAAGCTAGTGGGGATAAGGAAAGTTAATAGAGGAATTTATGGCTGCCTGAAAAAGATGAACTGCTGGTGGGGCTGCAGCAACAGAGCTCTCAACTGCCAGATGGACCTGGAGAATTCCCACTCTACAAATTAAATGTAGGAAGCAATGATTATAATAGAATAAAGCATAGACTAACATTTGATGATACTATGGCAAAGGAAGACTTTTTTTTTTTTGAAATTTAAATATAGATTGATTTCATATCAAAAGGGATGATCCCAATGCACAAAAGGAGGAGGAACCTGGCCAAGAATCTGGCTAGGATCCAACTCGATGGCTGGCTTACAAAAATTGGCCAGCAGTGACTTAATCTGTACAAAGTTATTGACAAGCAGCTGAACATAAAACACAGCAAGAGACCACAATCAGCTCTGAACAGAAGAAACATGGGAAAAGAAGAAGAGGAAACATAACCGTTGAAAATGTTTCTTCCTCTTGCAAATCAGTCAAAGTCATTCCCTGTAGAGTTCCATGCAAAGGAAGACTTAATGGCATACTTTTGCTTGCTAAAAGAAAAGAAAGGTGAAGTAGGTGTAAATATTGTCACTACTTACTCAATTGTTAAAAGGAAAGAAAAAAAAGGTAAAGCATCAATTATACCATCAACTCACCCTGCTGCCTATATAGAGGTGCATCTGACCCAACATTTCATCGCACTTTAAGCTTTCATTTTTCTGTATCGAAGGCTACTTCTGTGCATTATTATTGTTGTTCAATGTTTTAATGAAATTATTATATTTCATCCGCTAGTTGTGCGTACTTGAAAGTGAAAGTGCAATCATTATAAATTTGAACAACAAAAATTGCAACTGTGGCCATCATTGTTCTCTGTCTGACTTCTTTAGTTTTGTACCAAATTCCCATGGATTGGTTAAACAAATTGGAAATCGAAAAACAGTGACGCCACGAGCCTGATTGAAACTGTATCATATGCCCCATTTCCATCTAAATTATTGGTAACATTAGCCCATGTTTTAATGGAAGAGCTGTTGGATCAAGACAGTGATGCAGGTGTATCTTCTGCATTTTATTCAATGCCTGCCATGGAAATGGATATTTGTCTTTCCTTGATTTCTGTTCTATCTTCGGCATTGTTTGACTTCATTGATCATGTTCTTTCTGTCTTTTGTCATGCAACATATTGGGGGTAATTAAAAAATCCATGCAGCCGGCTTGTAAGGAATGTTCTTTAACATTATCTGTCAATCTTCCTCCTATTATCTTTAACAAGGTTGTCTTTTGTTGAGGCCTAACTAAATTATGAAATAATAACACTTATACAACAGCACAACAAGTTATTTAGGCCTGATTGGTGTGTCTGCTGTGGAATGCTGACTCTTGAGAATGAAATTCTTTGAAAAGCATCTTCTACAGGGGTAGATGCTTATTCTGATAGGTTGTGTATTGGTCTAGGTACAGATGTGAACAAGAGGCTGATGCCTGTTTTTTTTGTTCTTTGAGGCCTTGATTTCTGGTTGCTATGTCTGATGAACATAACACTCTAAAACCAAGTGCTCTCTCTTTTGTACTTCTGACAGAAGTTTTCAACTTGTTTTTCCCACATATGAATGTTTCCCAGTGCTTTGTTTATTGAATTTCACTGGAAAGAATTGAGTTGCTTGCTGCATTTGTATCATGGGGCAAAGCCTTGGGAAATAGGTTGAGTCAACCAAGACCTTTTCGTTTTTGGATAAATGAGCAATTTAATTATCCATTCAAACTAATCCAATAATTTAATTAATTATAATTGTTACGAAATCTCTTATCGAATAAATGAGTAAAATATTTGAATTTATAAACATAAGTATTATACATCTTAATAAATTAATATTTTAAAATGAAAATAAAAATTTCGATTTTAATATCACCTTAAACACTGCACATCTCATACTTTAAGTGACATGTTCAGCCTTACCTCACAATCAAGAAATGCCAATTCCAAACTCCTGAACCATGTTAATAAGCTTTAATTATCTTAAACAAGTCCAGACCCTTGATCACTTATCTCATTTATCACATAAATACTCAAAAAACACTTCTTAATGGACTTAATAAACAAACCGAAGACGAACCATTTAATGCAAACTGTACTCAATTTCACCTCCATTTCTTCCCCACAGATAAACATAGATGTAGCAAATAAGTGTTGCTGAGCATTTGGTTTCAACCATTTCATGTAGGAAACTGATGATGATGATTGAATAAAAGCATCAAACATGACAACAACTAGGTAGCTTTTTCATTAAATACGGCCATCAGTCAATCAAAGAAACTAAAAGCACCTTCTCATATACCAATTACAGCTTGTATCATCCTTCCTCCCTATTCAAAATTTAATATACAGGTGAGACATTAGAAAGGAAAAATTTTGGCAAAATCCCACCTAATTCTATTGACCTCTTCAATTCCTATAGAGTATCTTATGAGAATAATAAGTTCCAATAGAAACAGCAAAAAGTTTGCTACCCAGGACAACACTGAAAGGAATGGGGGAAAGATAGCAAAAAAGAAAAAGGGCAAAACAAGTCAGCAACATATTTCCCCACCAGACATTACCCTAATAAATCTGAGATGCCTTTAATATTTACACTCCAAAAAGCAGGCAAGAGCTTCAACCTCCCGAAGGTTCCTCCAAGTGTTTCTATGTTGCATCCTCGCAAGATTTTAACAGTTCAGTAATTAGTGTTCCAATTTATCTGTGCATGTTGAGGCTGCTGATAAGCACCAGTTGGGGGACCCACAGTTTCGACAGCTGCAGCCATGGCTTGAGACTGCTGTAGAAGGGTATTAACATTGGAAGGAGCAGCCATTGTTTGTGGTGACTGATAAAGTCCAGCAAAGGCCCCATGACCAGCCTGTGCAGGAGAGAAAGGAACCTGTTGGCCATGAAGAGAGAGGTTGTACAAAGAATTAACCTGCAAGTTGGATAAATCTTGCCCTGGTGCAGGCATCCAGAGAGCTGAACCGTCGTTCTGCAAAAAAATAAAAAAAATTACTCAAAACATAGTGTTAATGTTAACTTAGTAGTAGCTAATAGAAATACTATGGAAAACATAATAAAATACCATATGCATTTAAGCTAAAAGAAGAACCCCATAACTATGATCATTATACATCACAGTAAAACACTTCTAATAGAAAATGGTTAATAAAAGTACAAAAGGAAAACGAAAGCAAAACCAACCAGTGGTCCTGTTGTGTATATATGATTTTCCTTCAACTGCGATGCTGCAAGATCCTCCTTACTGCTAGAGCTTCCAGATGTCGCCGATGGAACAGATATATTGAAACCAACGGGCGGAGAAGTCAATGGACCATAGCCAGATGGGATTGTGAGGTGAGCAGGATTTCCTGCATTAGTTCCAGGCTTGAACTGTGGAAGAGGGAATTTGACCCCAGGTGCAGCTGCTCCAGGTGGCATGTATACATTACCAGTTGAAGGCTGCTGGGGAAGCCCACTGGGGTTTAAATATTGATGCATCGGATGCATATAAAAAGGTGGAAGATAGTGGGGATAGGGAAAGTAATTAGGGGGAAATGGCTGCCTGAAAAGGTGAACTGCTTGTGGGGCTGCTGCAACGGAGCTCTGAACAGGTGGTGTTGAACTGCCGGATGGAGCTGGAGAATTCCCACTCTACAAATTTGACAAATTAAGTGTAAGAAGCACATAATTATAATAGCATAAAGCATAGGCTAACATTTGATGTTAATATGACAAAACAAAAGAGTACAATTTAATTTTCTGAAGTTCACAGGGATGTATGACAACTTTTTCTCATCCTATTCCACTCTATTTAAGCCCTATAAACTATAAAATGATTTCAGCAATTGTGTATATAAACTATAAAAGACAGTAAGGGCAGAAGAAAATACAAAAAAAGGAAATGCCAAGTCCTAGAACTATTTTTGGAAAGCACACTATAAGCCACCTGAGATGATGCAAAGGAGTTTTAATATGTATGAATCATGGTGGGGTACTATAACCAATTAAATCAATAAAAATATGACAGTTACAAGAAAGAAGCAAGTGCTTACAGCAAAGTTTATAAGGCGAGAAGCATCAGGTGCCCGAGCCTCAGGTCCATCAAACTGTGCAAGGTGGCTAGCTGATGCTGGCATAAAACCAAACCCATAGCTTGGGACATTTGGAATGACACTCTGATTAACTTCAGGGTGCAAATGCATTTCTTGGTTTGAATGGTTGCCTTTCAAGTCTGCATCAGATGAAATATTGCCATCTGATTCCGGCACTTTCTCAAACTCAGAAGGAGATTGTGGTCGATCAGAATTATCCCCTTCCACAGCTGATAATATACATTGGCTACTGCATAAATTACAAAGGCCGAATAAGATCTAAAATAGTAAGAAACAAAATAGATAACTAGGAACACTACATAGAGATTACAAATACACTAGCAGTATTTATCAATAGCAAATTAGGTGCATTTATAACTAAGGATATTCATCCAAACATGCTTTTCCTCTGTAATCCCACCGGAAGATACAACAGATTAATTATTTCCTTTTTGATTCTTCAAAGAAGGTTGGACGGCAAAACACTAGGGCTCCATTACCGGTCACCCCATGGCTCATCTAATTGCTTTAATAAGTTACAGAAGAAATTAAAACTCACATACCAGCAACACCTCAAAACTAAATGTTAAGATGGAAAAAAAAAAGATTTCTAGAATCATTAGATACTTTCCAGCAGAAGAAAAGTAATACATCAGACAAAATATAAATTTGGATAAAAGTCAAAACTATAATGTCCAACCTGGAAGATGGCTCTCCAGCAGTTTCATCATTACCATGAGAAGTTTCAACAGGGCATGCAGAGTTAATCTCCACGCTAGTGCTGTTATCGTGTTTTGTTCCTTGTCCAAAACTAGCATCAAAGCTTCCAAAAGTTAAGCCATTTTTCAATGCTTCAGAGACTTGGAAGTGGGTGGGAAAAGTAACATGTTGGCCATTGGGAACATTTGAATCGGGAAGTAATTGAGAATTGTCTTCAATAATGACAGCTGCAACCTCAGATGTGACCACTGTTTCAGGAACAAGAACCAAGTGAAATCTCCAATAAAAAGTAAAACCACCAAAAAATGCAGAAAGACAACCTTAAAGTATAAGATTTTTAATATCAATATCTAGGAAAAGGATGCTCCAAAAGCAGATAATATTAGGGAACAATAAATGAATGAATTGCCAACACTTATGTTTAGAATAAGCACTTAGTTATTATTGTTCAAAAAGAAGTAAAAACATTAGAAAAAAATAAAGCAGTCTTAAAGCGCAACAAATGGGTGCAAAACCTAGAAACAGCTTGCATTACAAAGAAAATTGAAAACAGTTAAGCAAGATTTCCAAAGGAATTTCTTATCGTTTCTTCCATAATAGGAAGGAGAAGAACAACAAACCCATACACCACAACTACTATACCTACCAACTGCCAAAGTGAAAAGACTAAAAACAGAGGCCTCCCACATAAAAATTTGAATTCCAAAATAGAATACTGTACATCAAAAGGAGGTAAAAGGGAGAGACAAAAAAATACACAGCAATCACATAAAATGCTTCATTTTATGGTATCCCAAATCAAACAAAAGAGGTAATACCTTGTAGTAAGGAGGGCTCTATAGTCTCGGGCTGCTGAACCTGTTCAGCAACCTTTGATTTGCTCAGGGCCTTCTTTCCAGGCTTTGGGCTTGGAACCTCGGAGGCTGCTTTCTCAGTCTTAGATACATTAATATCATGGGGAACATGTTTGTTTCCTTGAGTATGGTTTACTTCAGCAGCTCCCCGTTGGTTTCCAATGTCACGTTTTATTGTACTCACAGCACCAACATGATGGGACACGGTTGGTGCCAACACAGGATCTGCAGCAGATGAACAGACACCAGGCACGGATATTGAAGTGGCAGAAGTTGATGACGGATTAGAATTTGATGTGGACTTCTCTTGATCTTTGATCAGAGAGCCAAAGGAATGAGCAGTGGGGGCAGGAGGTTCTGTGACAGCTGGTTGCACTGAAACAGTCACTAGCTTGTTTGCAAGTAAGCCATCTTTAGTTTCATTACTAGCACCACCTGCAGACAATTGGGATCCACGTCCAAGACTGGAGCTCCCATTGGGTAAAGCTGTAGTGCCATTTGGCATGGCAGTAGGTGTTCTGCAATAGAACGAAACAAACTTTAGGCCAAGATGTAACAGCATTCTCTAGAGGTAACCAATTAAGTCAGATTGAGATACAAAAAGTAATATCCTTATGCATATTTACTTTGTTGTCTGAGGTGCTGCATTACTTTTCGCTTTCTGAGAGACTGACAAAGGCATAGAACCCCTATCTGAGGTATTATTAACCCCATTCTCCCTTCGAGCAGATGCATTCCTTCCACCTCCAGCATCTTAAAGAACAAGGCTTGTTAGATGAGCAACGTACAGATAAACAAGTTAAATTCATATATTGCTGCATAAATATGAGAAGGAAAAAAAAACTCAGAACTTTACCAGCTGATGTATAATATTTCCCCCGATTGCCCCGGCCCCCTCGTCCTTGTGTACCAGCTGTCTGCATCATATTAGTTGTCTGCATCAAAGAAGAATTGAGTTATAATTCACAATTCACTAAGCTAACTAAAGCAAAACCCAATGAAAGAAATCCTTCAAAACCAAATTCAAGTAAGCAATACTCTGACACATTACATCAGTTCAGTATATTTTTTTCTCCTTATTGTGAAACTGGCATAGTTGCCACCAAGCAAACACCAAACAGACTAAAGTATTATAGAACCAACAGTATCATTGAAAACCAAAATCATAACTGTGGTGAAAAACATGTCTATACTTTGTAATTGCAAAGAATAGAAGATCAAAAGAAAGAAAAATTCTATTTTCACCAGTTGGAAAGGAAAAGAACACTTGCCTCCTTTTTCCTATCGCGTTTTCTTTTCACCTCATGAAATGTATCTGCCAACCAAACAAATTAATGGCCATACTTTCAACAAGTAAATTGTAATATACATTAAGCAAAAACACAGTATGCACTTAACACAATCAGAAAATCCCTTAAAAAAGAAGCTTCGTTTCACACATTTGCAAGCATTTAACTTAAAGGTAGTGGTGTTTGCCTAAAAGAATCTTTTATCTATCATAGACCACCATAGCAAGGATGAAACATTGAAACTTTAACTCTTAGAATATTGATTTGTTACTTTAAACAAGATTATTAAATATCTTGAATTTCTTTAATCTACTCCCTTTTCCCAGCAAGCAAGAAACATCCTTTCCTCAAAATATCAAAACTAGCAAACCAAACAGTGCAAACACTTTCCATTAGCAAAACGACCAAAATCAAGCCAAGCCCACCTCTCAAAATCCCAACTTTCTTCACTCTTCCAACACAAAGCACGAAACCAACAAACCAAACAATGCCCAATCCACTTTCCATTAGCAAAAGAACATGAGAAAACACCAAAACCCCACCCCTCAAAAATCCCAACTTTCTTCACTTCTTCAACACAAAACACAAAACCCACACAGGAACAATAGATCATAAACCCACCAAACCCTCAGAAACCATAAAACCCTAAAAGAGAAGCAAGAAAAACCCTTAGAAACACAGGTAAAAAACAAAAAGTACCCAAGAACCCAAAAACATCAAAATCTTGATCATTACCCAGATAAAGGAGCTTTTGGGCACTTTCATTAGGATCCATAGAGCACTCTTTGAGCACTGCATAGATTTCTTCATCGCTGTGTTGCTTCCCTGTGATCTCCCTTATGTTTTGGATCGTTTTCTTTGCATTGTCTGGGATCGAAACCTCTGACCCCTCACCTCCACGTCCACCACCGCCGCCGCCGCCACCTTTGCTGCTCATGGTAGCAAAGAGAGAAAAGAGAACAGAGTAATGGACAAAGGAGAGAAGAAAGAAAACAAAGAAAAAAAAAAAGAAAACCCGAAATGAATTGGTTATGTATTTATATTTCTAATAAGTAGGACATAATTCAAGATGAATAATAATGAGAAAGAAAAAAGTATACTATAAAATTTTTTTTGGGTTTTTCTTCTTTTTTTTTATTGATGTTGACGAATGCTAAGAGAGGAGAGTAGGGTTCTAGTCTCTATATTATATATATATATATATATATAATGGGATTTGAATACAGGCGCAAGGAGGCTAATTAACCATTGGAGAAACTTTTTTTTTATTTTTTTAATTTATTTTATTTTTTTTAGAGATATATCAAAATAAAGTTCTTTCATTTATTTAATTCTTTTATTTTTTTTTTATATTACAAATTTATTTTTCTATAAATTTTTTTACTTTTTATTTTAAAAAAATTAAAGATTTTTATTATGGAATAAATTCTTCAATTATAATATATAATTTTAAAAAATTAAAATTTATTAAAAAATATGAATATTTAAAGACAGAAGGAATATTATCTTGTGGGGGAATTAACTATGCTTATTAAAGAAAGGACCTTGAGTGAGTTTATTGTACAACATGTGCTTTATAGTAATTAATATAATTTATATATATTCATGTAATACATGTTTCCATAATGATAAAATTTTATCAAAAATTCGAAAGTTCAAGAAATCAAAACTCGATAAAAAGATCTAAGAAATAAAAACTATCAAGGATGACATTCGTTTTATAATCGATTAATTTTAAGACATTAATTTCAATTACTTTAATAAAAAAATAGATAGAGTCATAAATTGAATTGTTCATAATACAAAGAATAAATATTATTCTTTTAATTGTTTGGTTCGACTTAATCAAATTGAATATATTGATAAAATCTCTATATAAGGGTAAATCAATCATTACAAACTAAAAGTAAGAATAAAATTCGAAAACATCCAGATTTTATGTTGATTTTTATTATAAACGATTATGATTATATTTATAAGTTATATGCACAGGTGAGTATTAATTGATTTCAATTGAATAAATACATCGAAATCAATTGAATTCAATTATTTTTGGTTCGGTTCCAACTTTGACTAGTCACTTGATTGGACATATTTGATCATTTCAATTGATTTTTAATTTGAAATTTATAATTGAACTAATCAAATTGATTAAATTTAAGTCAATTTTGATTATTTCAATTTTAGTGTATGATTTGATCAATTTGGTTCTTTTTCATAAAAGTTTGATTGATTCAGGTTTTGAAAATTAAAAACAAAATTGATCAAATGTTTCACATTAGAAATTATTTGATTTATTTAATTACTTAGGTTGATTTTTAATTCAAAGTTTAGGACCAAATAGATTAAATTGGTCGAATTTAAGTCGGTTTTGATTATTTCGGTTTGAAAACATGATTCGATTATTTTTCATGAAAGTTTGATTAATTTAGTGTTTGAAGTTTAAAAACCAAACTGATAAAATATTTACATTAAAAATAACTTGATTATCTTAATTAATTTTTAATTCAAAATCTACAATTAATTCGATCAAATTTAAGTCAATTTTGATTATTTTGAATTTAGAGTATGATTTGATCGATTTGATTTTTTTCATAAAACCTTGCTTAATTTGGGGTTTGAAATTTTAAAATATTTACATATAATTATACATTAATGTTTTCATTTGATAATTTAGACAAAGGCCCATAAATCCGATACCTTAAAACCAATCAAGCCGACAAGACAGCCACCGACTTCAAACATGTCGCTATCTTGGAATCCTACGTGGCAACCAGAGAGGTCGGTGGATATATTTGTCTATTCGTTATTTATTTGGTGGCAAAACAGTCATTTCGAAAACAAAGCATCGGCCTTTTATATTCTCCACTCACGTCCCTCTTCTTATGAAACCCTAAATCCCCCTTTCAATTGCCCCCAAATTATAGCAACAAAACAAAGCGAATTGAGCCCCATGGGTTCCAAATCCAGGAACGATAATCCCTTCAGTGGCGATGGAGCTAGCCCTGGGTTAGAATCTCTCTCTTTTTCGGCTTTCGGTTCCATTTAATTTTGCCCCTGTTTGGTTCCCGCGAAAATTTGAGAGGAAATAAGAAAGGAAATTTCGGAATATTTCTATTCTCTCTTTCTTTATCGTAAGTTTTGATTTTTTCTTTTGGAATTTGCAGGAAGATTTTTATCGGAGGATTGGCCAAAGATACTACCTTTCGTGAGACTTTATATTAATTTCTCCTTTTGATTTTGTATATTTTTTCATTGAATTAAAAGTAGCTAGATATGAATTTGAAAAAACTGAATTGGATTTAATTTTTTTGATTATTAAATTTAATGGGTTTTATTTTTTATGAGTAATTAATTATTTAATTTGGTGTTTTTGATTTTACTAATGCTATCGTATTGATGGATCTGTAGCTCAATTTAATAAGCACTTTGCAAAGTATGGGGAGATAATTGATTCGGTAATTATGAAAGATAGATACACTGGTCAGCCTCGCGGTTTTGGATTTATTACATATGCTGATCCTTCTGTTGTTGATAAGGTCATTGAGGAGGACCATATCATCAATGGAAAACAGGTAAATCATATTTGTATTAGATCACGACACAATAAATTCATTACATGTTTTCTTCTGGATAGTGTATAATAGTGTTACATATATATGGTTGAGTTTATATTTAATAAGTTAAATTTTGTGGTTTTAAGGAATTGTGGTAAAGCTGAATATAGAGTTAGAATGTTGTGTTATCAACTAGCTGATCCTTGAAATATGTAGCCTAATTGAGATGCTGATGAAAATTTTTGGTCAATAGAACTATGAAATATCGGTTTGTGTGTGTGTGTGTATTAAACAAATTAAGGAAGATGCTTACGAGATCAAATTTAAGCAGGTTGAGATAAAGAGGACAATTCCTAAAGGCTCTAGTCAATCAAAGGATTTTAAGACGAAAAAGATATTTGTCGGTGGTATACCATCCGCAGTCACAGAAGGTATGGATGCAGAGTCTTAGGTGTTGTCTTTTCGCTGTAGATTGACTATGAAAATGTGTTGTTTAGTATACATCTTTCTCTGAGTGGTGCTTTTGTCATTCAGATGAATTTAGGAGTTTCTTCTCCAATTATGGGAAAGTGATGGAGCACCAGATTATTCGCGATCATGCAACCAATAGGTCTCGTGGATTTGGCTTTATAATTTTTGACAGTGAAGAAGTTGTAGATGATATGTTATCAAAAGGAAATATGATTGATATGGCGGGTACCCAGGTAAGTGGAGTGAAATTGGACATATCTTCCAAGGAATCAGCATGTAAACAGGTTTATGTCTATTATGGAGTTTGCAGGATTGCATTCTCTGTTTATCTTATTGATAATAATAGGGTTGTCAGTTTGCTTAATTTTTAGTACCTGATCACATAAACTACCCCAGTGGCAGTGGTTTATGTTTCTAATATCAGATGGAGATTGATACGGGAATAGATCTCCCAAGGAAAAGGGCTATCAATTTAGTTTACATGCAGCCAACCTTAGGTTAACTAAGTTGCTTTGTTGTAGGTGGAGATCAAGAAAGCTGAACCAAAGAAAGCCTCAAACCCACCACCTGCTCCCGCATATGGTAGTAACTCTAGGGGCCGTTCTTATGATGATGGCTTTGGTGGGTATGGTGGTTCATATGGGGGTTTTGATGGAGGGTTTGGTCCAGGTCCCTATAGGACACCTGGGAGTCTTGGTGCTGGTTATGGATATGGTAGTGGTGGTGGTGAATTTGGAGTTTATGGGGGGTTTGGAGGCAGTAGTTTAGGAGGCTACCGGGGTGAATCTTCCCTTGGTTATTCTAGCCGCTTTGGACACTATGTTGGTGGTTTTGCTGGGGGTTATGGTGGAAGCAGTGTAGGTGGCTATGGCCGAGGAGGTGATGGTTATGGCCGTTATGCAGGTTCAGGCTATGGTGGTGGTTATGACTCTGGTCCTGGTGCTAGTTATGGTGGAGCAGGTGGGCTCTATGGCAGGGGAGGCTATAGTAGCAGTAGTCGATACCATCCATATGCAAGATAGAATGCAGGCATTGTGATGCAGTTGCTTAATATTTGCCATAGAAGTTCCATACAGTTTCCTTTAGATCTGCGTTGTGAATCATTAGGCACTTTCTCACAAGTACTAGAAGTCTTCTAATTGTAGCACGTGGGGAAGGCTTTCAAGATCAGGGGAGATATTTTGTTAGACTATTGTTCTATTGTATGATTTAGAAAGCACTTCATATTAGTGCTTGATTGCTTTGTTCTAGTCTATTTTAATTTGGTTTGTTATGTAGACTATAGCAACCTTTTTGGAGATTGTTAGTTAGACATATTTCCCCTTATTTCTGTTTTAGCTTCTTATCTTCTTTAGATCGGTCTTTCTTTTTCTAGTAATCATTTAGATTGCTTCAAATGTTGACTCATCAGGGACAATGCTGTCTAGGCAAATGAGCTAGATTTGCAATTGTAGATGATATAATATTTAAGTTAGTTTGATATTCAGTTACTTAAATTACTGTTAGGATTAAAATAGGGAATGCTTGGAAAGTGTTAGGAACTGTTGGGACTTGGATGGATTTTTGTCACCGTATTCCAAATGTTCTTCTGAGGTACCTTTAGGAGGAACACTTCTTGCCAGCTTTGACATGTTTGTTCCCTCCTGGTGGTTTGCTGTCTCTTGGGTGTACATTGTACTCTTAATCGCTTCCGTTGCAGTTGGCAATTTAGTTTTATAATTCTTCTCAAGTTGTTACTTTGGTGAAAGCATGGTACCTGTGGCGAATGGCTGAATACGTAAAACTTTTCTCTTGTACTTGATGAGGCTGCGAGCTTGTTGGAACATATCTTCTCTTTTTCCTTTAAATTTTGTTGTACCCTTGACATTCCTTATTTAATGAAATCTGTTGCCATCCCATTGTGAAATAAGCTTGATTATGATGTAAATGTTGGATTGCCCATGATACATCAACTGATATGAATATCAATACTTGGATAGTAAAATCCTTGTTCTGATTATCGCTTCGATATACATATTTGTTCAAAAGCATTTTGAAAACTTCTAATGTAATTGTATCAAGAAGTAGTGTTTGCACATGTCAAGAAGGGCATCACGGATAACAATTCCACTAGGTTGTTCGACAGGGCTAAGGAAGGTGCATGTAATCAAAGAACCAGACATTGTGCTGCATTGCATGAGTTTGTAGACCAAATTCTAATCTTCAAAATGTGTTTAATGATGTTATGAGAAACAGGTGTGACCCCATCAAAGAGGCAAAAGCCTTTAATCTATGTACCATCAACAGGCAATGAAAGTTAAGTTCCAAGGATGAAGTATTTGAGCTTTAAAATGCAATATAGGTGGGATTAATCCTTGTATTTTTTTCTCATTTGGAAAATGAAATGGAAACCTATGTACCCAAACGATAATGTTGAATGAAATGAATGAGAGATTATGAAATGCAGCATTGGAGAAACCATGTTAATGCTTACTCACACGAACTCTTAATTTTAATGAACACTTTCACGATTTTAAGTATAATTGGTTATTTTTGTCAACTTGGTAACATGATGTATGAAAAAATTACATTAAATATCAATTGTTATATGGATAATAATCTTAACTCATAGTATAAGTTGAATATTAAATGAAAAAAAGTATAAGATGATTAAAATCGAAAGATAAAAAGTAAAGAATTTTTTTAATATAATACAAAAAATCAAGATTTTGGACATAAAGTATAATAATTTAAGGTTTTTTAATATTTAATGGAAATTAATTTTTTTATACAGTTGGTTTCTGTTTATTTATTTTAGCTAAAAAACCAAATACGATGTCGTTTGGATAATCCTGACAACTTCCTGGGAAATTTTGATTTGATACTACTAATGCATATAAAAAACTCATGAAAATTAATTAATAATAATTTTTTTTAATATTTTTTCCTGAAAATTTCCCACCAATTGCTTCATTTTGACTCTTCTTCGGTCTTTCTGACTCTGTTTCCGCCCACTGCAACTTCCATGGCTCCTCTTGTCGTTACAGTTCTCTTCCTTCTTCACCATCCAAGCTGGAAGCAGTTCTTTCCTTTTCCTCATCCCACGGCAGAGGCAGAGCCAACCCAAGCAACCACCATGATCCTCACAGCCTCTGCTCCGAGTAGCAGAGCAGGGCAGGGCAGAGTCAGAACGCTATATTGTTAGAGGTTGACAAGGGGACATGGGAGCTATGAAAGAGAATTCTTTCCACACTACCCACAACTCAAAATGTGAAGAAAAAAACTGGGTCGTTTTAAGTGAATACTGTTTCTTTATTAACTTGAATTAATTCCTTCTTTTTTAGCTTGCTTGAAGCAAAAGCGTGAAAGTGTTAGAGTTTGACATGTTTTGGAGGTCTGGATGAGTTTTGCCTCAGTTTTTCGAATCTACATTTAACTTTAATAAATTATTTTAAATATGAATAAATCTCAGCCTTTTCAAGATTTTTAAAGCTTTGTTGGTTTAAATCAAACTTACTAAATTTTATTTGAAAATTGAAACTTCCTAAATGTTAGGAACTCTTATTACATAAGGATTGTTCAGATACCTATAAATACTTGTTCCATGCAAGAACCTGAAAGCCGTCTGACATTGCAAACTAAAAGAAAGAATCTTACAGTGCTATGATCAGTGTGATGGGTGACAACCGTTTTTCCCGGAAGGATTGCGTAATGAAGAAGCAAAGCGTTGTGGAAGGAAAGAAGAGGGAGAGAGGGAAGGAGGATCCAGAAATCAATGCCATGTTCGATGCTGTCAAGAGGAGGAGGAAGGTCGAGAAAAGTTCTGAAGAAATCAGCTTGTTTGTCGAGAAAGTACTGGCTGAGCTCACGATCGTTGCTGAAGACGATGCACAACTCAACAGAAAAGGCCAACCTGCCATCAACAAGCTCAAGAAGTTGCCATTTCTCACCGAGGTTTTGTCCAAGAAAAGCTTTCAGCTTCAGTTCTTGGATCATGGGGTTCTTACTCTCTTGAAGAACTGGCTAGAGCCCCTTCCTGACGGCAGCCTGCCTAATGCCAATATCCGTGGAGCAGTTCTGAACATACTGGCAGATTTTCAGATCGATTTAGAGCAAGATTACCAACGAGAACAGTTCAAGAGGAGCGGTCTTGGAAGGGCGATTATGTTCCTATCGAAATATGAGGAGGAAACAGTTTCCAACAGAAGGGTCGCTAAGGATTTGATCGACAGATGGAGCCGAAGCATCTTCAACAAGAGTTCAAGGTTCTCCGACCTGAGATATGATGATGATATTCATGTGCCCGTGATGAAAAAGCCTGTGAGCAAACCTGCAATGGTGGAAGTTAGGGGTTGTGATTTGGACTTCAGTATTGCCAAGGAGCATAAGCTAAGTTCTCGATCATCTTCTTTGAGGGAACATGTTACAAGGCCCGAACCAGCTTCACTTGTTTATACAGTACGTCCCCAATCTAAGTACAACCCAGAGATAGCCAGAACTTCTGCTAGACAACAACGAGTACAAGGAGACTCTCGCCAAAGGATAGAGCAGAGGTTGAAGACGTTGAAAGCATCCAGAAAGAAGCCGCTGCAAGCTGCAAAGCTTAGTGCTGAGGGTCGTCGTATGCTCCTAAGTGTGTGATGTTAAACAAGTTCATATATGTTCTATTAGATCTTCTTGTCAATTTTACCGTCAAAGAAATGTTCTGTAAATTTTAAGTTGTTATGAATGAAGTTAAAATTTTTTAACATCATTGTCTTTGTCTTTGCCATTGTCATGAGCATCAGTTTCTAGCACCAAGCTTTCTAATCATCAACATGCTTTTCATGTGATATTTAGCAAGACTCATCATCAAAATTTCAGTTGACTGTCAAACCAAAAACATAAGCAGCTTGCTGTAAATCATCCCCACTAAAATGATGATAACTTGATGAGTGTTCCCTTACAGTTGAATAAAATACCCTGCAATCCTAAGCTTGATAGTATTGCTTTCCTCTTATCTGGTGTATTATGAGATGCAAAGAATTGTTGTGTCTTGCATACCCCAAGCCAAGGAAAATGATTCACATTAGCAGTCTTGGTTGCATTTATGTTGTCGATTTCTACCTACAATCCCCCTTTACAGCATCAAGGAGGTAGAGGTAGAACCTCCTTCATATGCGGAATGTCTCCAACTACCTTGCTTCTACTTAAGCAGTTTTTCCTCATAACTTGCTGGCTGTGTCTTGGCCTAGCTACTAGGTCGAGGCTCTGAATCCAAAATGCAAAGGTCCTGACAAAATCAAGTATTTCTAGTGTTTTTCTGCACTGTGACAAATGCAGAACCAAGGCCATGAAAATTTGTCCGTGCTTCCTCCATTAATTGAGCTGAGTTTAGTCTTCGTTATATACTGCAAATCTTAAGGTAACTAGCCATGCATTCATCATGGACAATTAAAATGTATTGCATCTTGTATTCACCCTTTTGCTGATCTTTCTTCTTCTTCTTTTTCTTCTTGAACTCAAACTCCCTGCCTCCTGATGAGATGACCACTCAGACTAAGTCTGGTAATTGTTGTATGGTTACCTACTTATATAAATTATCCAAAACTGGCTTTCATGCATGGTTCCAAAAGACTTCAAATCTGTCAGCCGGCATGGCTGAAAACACCAACCTTGCTCAAGAGTCTCAAAATAGGTTACTTCTTTTTCTGTTTCATTCATGTATATGCATATCAATGTTCCAATTGGAATAAGTTTTACTTGCAAAAAGAAAGAACATATGTATAAGGTTGAGTAAGCCGTTTAACGATGATGCTGGATGCAATTATTATGAAAAATAATTACAATTTTCATGGGAGGAGATACTAGTGTTTATGACAAAAGAAATGTTGAATCATCAGAAAATAAAAAAAAAAAAGGAGTATTAAGTACTTCATAAGGGAAATACTAGTGTTTATTATTTTTTTCCCGGCATCCATTTTACATTTTCACAAATGAAAAAGAGTGTTCCATTGTATCTTGCCAATGCTAGGAATTCTGTCCATAAGCAGACCAATGTGCAAACGACCTGCTGGTTCAAATTCAGCTTTAACGTATCATGCAAAAGCTCCTCGAGCAGCTCCCATTGTCATCACCTGACTGCAAGCTTTTAGTAGGTTTCCTGGTAAGCAATATATCAGGCTAAAGAATTGGTATGATCTGTTTCTTAAGGGCCTCCCACAAATCATCCTGAAGAGGGTGAATTCAATAAAATCGGGTTATTTGATAATGCTGTAAGCACGAGCTATTCACTGCAGTGGCTCAATATCAAAAGAGAGAACTCAAGTCATGTAGTGAGCTCTTCACATAGACCACCAAGGGTTGCTGTAACTGTACTCATTTCTTCACAAAGCCCAAACAAGACGAGCTGCAAATGTTCTATCTAGCGAATGTTTTACTGGATTAGAGAGATAGAAGCCTTGTTTTGTAACGAAATCAGATGGCACATATCTATTCTGAATTCCTGAAAAAGGAAAGCTAAGAAAACAATCAGTCAATAAATAAAAGTCCAGCACAGAAGTTGATGGAAAAGCCATTGCTCTTACAGGATGCCTGCCAAGAGAAGCATCTACCCTGTCTTCGCTCTCTTCAGGATCAATGGAGCTGGTCCTGTTTGTTAACACTCCTTCAAGGCTCACCAGTCTATAAATGCAGAACAAATGTTGCCAGTGTGATGTTAAACAAGTTTATATATGTTCTATTAGACCTTCTTGACAGTTTTAGCTGTCAAAGAAATTTTCTGTAAACTTTAAGTTGTTATCAATGAAGTTAAAGCAAGACTCATCAACAAAATTTCAGTTCATTGTCAAACCAAAACCTTAAGCAGCTTCCAGGTTCTAGTTTCTCCAAAAAGCACTTGGAAAATGAAATGGAACTAATGTTGAATGAAAAACAGCAAATGTATAATGAGTGACAAAGATTATGAATTGCAGCATTGAGAAGCCATGCTGATGTCTATTATCATTCTTGTCCAACTCTTAATTTTAATGAAAAATTTCATTTTCACCAAGATAATTGGTATTTTTAATCAACTTGATATATATTACGATTAATAATCGATATGACATACGATAGATTATATTAAATATTAATTGCTACAATGGGTTTAAAAGATATACATTAAATTATAATTTTTTGTGAATAATAATAAAATAAAGAATTCTTTAAGGTAAAGTGTAATAATTCAATGTTTTTTTAAGTATTTAAATGAAATTAATTTATTTATGCAGTAGGTTTTGTTTATAGTTTTTAACTAAAACGTTCAATACGACACCGTTTGAAGCGTTCAATCCTGGCAACTTCCTGGGAAATCTTGTCTTGTCAGCCTTAAAAGCATCGAAACCAAAGAAATCAGAAGAGCGAGTGAGCCACCGAGTTGAGTTCACCTTCAACTTCCCACCCGCACACTCGTTTACTGTCGCATCTTCTCGTTATATTGCCGGCGACCTAGTAATCTCGGTGACTCAGTGAATCTAACCAGTGAAGGAAAGAAAACAAAAAATGGTGGCCGAGTTGAAGTACGAGATCTCACAGAACGCTTACATAAAGTTGGTTCTACAAGCGCTGAAGCACAAAACGACGGCGGTCAACGGCGTCTTACTAGGCCGAGTCAACCCGCAGAATGAAAACGTTGTTGAGATCATTGACGCAGTCCCTCTCTTTCACTCTAATCTTGCTTTATTGCCTCCCCTCGAGATCGCCCTCATCATGGTATCTGTATTCTCTTTTTAGGTTTTAATATATTTATTTTCTCTTGAAAGTTCTTTAGTTTTGGAAAATCAGAGTTTTACGTTGTTCTAATGATTTGGTTTTGACCAAGATTCAATTGGGTAGTTGAAACTTTCTGTTGTTTTGGTAAAGTTTTGTTCTTTTTTTAAGAAAAAAAAACCATTTTTGGGCTATTTTGTTTGAAGATTTTGGCTTTGAAATTTGATGCTCTTATACATTTTTACAGCTGTTCTGATGGATTGGTTTTGATCAGGTAGAGGAGCATTATGGATCTCAGGGATTGGGAATTGTGGGCTATTTCCACGCAAATGAGAGGTTTGATGATGCAGAGCTAGGCATTGTGGCAAAGAATATTGGTGATCATATTTGCCGGTACTTTCCCCAAGCTGCTCTTCTCTTGGTATGTATTTTGATTGTTGTAATAATTGGTAATTGGTTTATATATATGGCTTAGTCTTGATTCTGTTTTGTTTGTGTTTTTTCTTTTGTAGTTAGATAACAAAAAGCTGGAAGCTTTGTCCAAGGGGAAAGACCAGAGTCCTGTGATGCAGGTTTGTGTTTACTTGTGAGTTTTAAGTTTTAATTGTTGCCTTTTTGGTTTTGATTGATCTGGGGGTGGTGAAGGGATTATGCCTGAGGAATACTATTGGTGGTAATGGGAAAGAAAGCACTGTTAGCAGAATAGTTTAGGGCAAAATGAAAAACTATATGTAGGTGCAAGAGAAGAGCTGGCATCAGTTCTATCTTAGGACTTTCTCTGATAGGAGTTAAAATCAGAGGCTTGAAGGTATAGCTGAATGTTCGGTTGCCTCATATATGCATGTGAGTCTTTTTGCATATCTGCTCCCATGACTTTGAGCTGTGTAAATCTTATGTTGAGTATCATAGACGATCTTGGTGTTAGGTATATTTGGTTTTGGATCTATCGGCCTCAGTTATAGTCCTATCAATGGTGTATGCTGCAAATGCAGTTGATCTTCCAGATTCAGAGGTGTAGTAGTTTCAAATCACTTGGAATTTGAAGGTGGGTTAGCTGAAAGGAGCAAGGCCTGATTGGCTTTTGCGATATTAGCTCTCCGATTCTTTTTAAAACTGCCACTATACTTATTTAGCATTTTTCAAGGTTTTAAACCCAGACATTTTGGTATAAATATATTGAATAGCCAAGGTTGTTCCTTGGGAAGGTCATCCATTAGGAGGCTCTGGTTTATTTATATCATATCCCCCATTTCTTACATTTTTTATGCTAGATTCTCGTCATCTAGGGGGTTTCATTCCTTAAAAAGTAGTTGGACGCGTTCATGGTCCAATAATTTTTACTACACCTTTGGCTAATTATAGTATTTGTCTCGTCTTGTGTCAGCTATATATAAGGGATGCATCCAAGAACTGGAAACTGGTTGGACCGGATGGAGGCAGCCGATTGGTAATCAAGGAGCCTGCTGCTAATGTTGTTTTGTTGGATTTCATTTCATCTGAAAAATGGGAGGATGTTGCAGATTTTGACGATCACCTTGATGACATTAAAAAGTAAGTCCTATGGTCTTTGCTTCTCTTATAACAGAATAAAATGAAAACACCTGATGTTACATGGGTATATTCGATTGGTTCTGTTTGATTTTACATCTTATCTTTCTGTTTGCAGGGACTGGCTTAATCCAGATCTCTTCAAGTAAGATCCTTCATTGGTTGGTCGAAGGTAATGGTTGATGCAGACACTGGTCCTGGAGACCATGAAATAGACAATGAATTGGATGAACCATGGGCTTACGGATATTTTATTCGCCAGGCGATTTTGTTGTGATGTATTAGCCGATTTGTTATAAGTTCAGGATGAATACCATCAACATTCCTTTAGTGGAAAGACATGTGTTTTAAGATCCATTGCTTTAGAACTTGTAAGTGGAAATGCAATGCCATTCTGTTTCAAATTTGTTGCATTTGTTACGGTCGTTGTCAGGTTTTTGAGGATCTAGTGAATGATTTTGACTGAGAATGTTGAATGGGTCATGAGTTCATGATCTCCCAGCAGGGCCTAAAATTGCCATTTTCAAGCAGTAATTTTTTTAGAATGAAGCTATGGATGAACCTCTTCTGTTCAACATTACAAGAAGAAAGAACAGAAGAACAAGCTTTTGTATGAGGCAAGGTATAAACTTTGCTAAGAAATTCAAATCCTCTGAACAAGCTAAAAGAACAGAAGAACGACAGATATCTGTTCTTCTTGCATCAAACTCCATGTTTCTCCATCTTTTTGGGATCAAAAGAAGCTAAAACGTTAGCAAAGAAAAGCTCTTGAACCCGTTAAATTCAAAAAACCGTTGGTCATCAAGCAACTGAAGTCAAGAGGAAGAAAATGCAAGTCTCTCTCTCTACTTCCCTTCACTCTCCTTCTTCACACGCGCAAACCCTTCTCTCCAACTTCAACTCCCCTTTAGAACTAAAGCAAGCTCATGCCCATCTCATCAAAACCAACACTCCTCACTCTTCCCTCTCTGTCTCTCGTATTGCTTCCGTTTGTGCTCTTTCCTCTGACTTCTCTTACGCCCATCAACTTTTAGCCCAATTCCCAGACCCCCAAACTGCCATTTGGAACTCTTGCTTGAGAACTTTAGCTGAAAGTGACTCCCCTTCTGATGCAATCCTCTTGTTCCGTCGTTTACGGGAATTCGATGTTCTCCCTGATAGTTTCACCTGTGCTTTCGTTCTTAAAGCCTGCACGGCTCTGTTGGATGATAAAAATGGTAAAATTGTTCACGGGTTTGTTGAGAAACTTGGGTTTAAATGGAACTTGGTTTTGCAAAACATGATCTTGAATTTCTATGGATTGTGTGGAGAAATGGCTACAGCTCGGCTGTTGTTTGATAATATGCCCCAGCGGGATGTTGTGAGTTGGAATGTTATGATTACCTATTTGGTTAAAATTGGAGACTTTGAGGGTGCTTATGGGTTCTTTTCGCGTATGCCTGAGAGAAATGTGAGGTCTTGGACAATGATGATTTCGGGGTGTGTTCATAGCGGGAAGCCCAAGGAAGGGGTTGAGCTGTTTATGGAGATGCAGAAGATAGGAGTGGAGGCTAATGAGGTCACTGTAGTGGCTGTTCTTGCAGCTTGTGCTGATTTGGGCGCACTCGACTTTGGGAAGAGGGTTCATGAATACTCGAAAAGAAGCAGATTTGGGAAGAATGTTAGAGTTTTGAATACTTTGATTGATATGTATGTGAAATGTGGTTGCTTGGAAGAAGCAAGGAGGGTTTTCAATGAGATGGAGGAACGAACTGTTGTGTCGTGGTCCACTATGATACAAGGGCTTGCAATGCATGGACAAGCTCAGGAAGCTGTAAGGGTGTTCTCGATGATGATTGAGATGGGGGTGATGCCTAATGGGGTAACATTTATTGGACTCTTGCATGCGTGTAGTCACATGGGGTTGGTTGATGAAGGTCGTCGATTTTTCTCTGGCATGACTAGAGACTATGGTATTATTCCTGAAATTGAGCATTATGGTTGCATGGTTCATCTTTTTAGCCGAGCAGGGCTCCTCCAAGAAGCCCATGAATTTATAATGAACATGCCTATAAAACCAAATGGGGTTGTATGGGGAGCTCTACTTGGTGGATGCAAGGTACACAAAAACATTAAGCTAGCTGAGGAAGCTACCAGACATCTTGCTCAGCTGGATCCTCTTAATGATGGATACTATGTTGTTTTATCTAATATTTACGCAGAAGCAGAAAGATGGGAAGATGTGGCAAGAGTAAGGAAGCTAATGAAAAATCGAGGTGTAAAGAAGACACCTGGTTGTAGTTCCATTGTCGTTGATGGAGTGATTCATGAATTTGTTGCTGGGGATGATACCCATTCTCAAGCAGATGAAATATTTGGAATGTGGGAGAAACTTCTAGGTCATATGAAGCTAAGAGGATACGTACCTGACACATCAGTTGTCCTATTGGACATGGAAGAGAAAGAGAAGGAGAAGTTTCTATATCGCCATAGTGAGAAATTAGCACTGTGTTTTGGACTGATAAACACACCGCCTGGAGTGGTGATCAGGATAATGAAGAATCTCCGCGTTTGTGAGGATTGTCATGCCACGTTCAAATTGATCTCAGCAATTGCTAACCGGGAAATAGTTGTGCGTGACCGTAACCGGTTCCATCGTTTCAAAGATGGCGCTTGCTCTTGCCAAGATTATTGGTAATGAGTTGAGACCATTATTATGTGCCCTTTTGATTTGTTCCTTTTTCATTTTTTTTGTAGCTCAGAAAACAAATTATGCACTTCTATTTGTGTATTTCAAAGATCCAATTGGGTTGTTGAGATTGAAATTGTCACCAATTATGTATCAAAAGAAATATGTCAATATCTTCCTGTATTGTTCAGCACAATCTTGTGCATTCTGACCACATAAGAAGCGTCATCGTTATCATTCATGGAGAAAGAAAAACAAAGCCTAAAACTTTCTTTTAAATCTTTACAATTTTCATGTCCTTATTTCCCATGAGGTTAGGCCCTTTGTGGCAATGAGTTTCAAAGAACAGGACATCCTTTAGACATAATCCCCTTTGCTGTGGGACAATGTGCCAATGGGCAATGGTCGGTGGAGTCCAGTCCCCACCATTCTGGTCCAACAATATCATGGGATTGAAGGGTGAAGTAAAGGAGTACTCCCATGAAGGCAACGCCAGCATCCAAAGCAGCAGATAAGATATAGGTATACTTACCCCACCATCGCTTGTACCTGTTATAAACATACCAGTTGAAGAATATTCCGACGGTTCCCCAACAGATATAGTGCACAGCTTTAGCTGGTGGCATGCCCTGTGTAGCTCCAAGGATCATCGGCATATGTATCAGCCTGATCCATTTCTTCTCTGGGAACTTGCGTGATAACCACCACACTGGAACAGGGGCAAGCAAGCCAATCAAGAAGAACCAGTTCATCTGCGGGTAGTTACCATACTTTGAGAACATTCTGAGAGGGCCTACAACCCCCCAAATGATTGAAGCATTGTAGAACACGTCGTCACCAGGGCATGTCCATGGACTCCCCTCAGGTAGCATAGCAGGATCACATATGTGCTTGATACTCGACAGAAGCCACCATGCTGTTCCAAAGTAGCAACTCGAAGCAACTATTGTTCCGACCAACTGATAGGGAAAACAAGTTAGGAATGTGTACAAATTACTTGAAAAGAAAGGAAAACAACATACGATCAATCATAGGTTCATCACCTGGACAATGAACATCGATTTCGGAGGGATCTTCATGTAATGACCTAGCTTGAAATCCCCAAGTAAGTTGAGAGCTTGTACCATACTGATATAGCCATAAGTCTTGAAAGCAACATTGGCAAGAGGCTTGCCAGGGTACATGTACCCGATAACCAATTCTGTAATCACATTCAACCCTGGTTGCTGCACATTAAAAAAAAAACATGTTTATCAAATATGGAATAATATCGACGTAACTATCTGATTCTATTTCTTCAAGAGCGATTATACCATGTTCGTTGTGGCTTGGATTATTCCGATGGGTAAGGTGAAAAACAGGGCAATTGCACAGGCCAGCAAAACTCCCCACCATGGGAGCTGGAGCTGCTTGCCAAAACCTTCACAGGCAATGATGGAAAGGACCATGATTGAGATTAAGATAATATGAAACCACCATTGGGGGACTGCCTCATAATTCTTCTTCATCAGCCTTGTGTGCACATCTGAAAGATTATCTTTCACCGCATATGTTGTCTTTTTCCACAATTTCCAGATTGTTCTAACCATTTGGTCAAGGAAAAAAAATCAGAAAAGAAAAGAAATGGAATGATCAAAACAATATTCCTATAGAGAAAGAATGCTTACTTTCCCTCAAACAGGGCGACATGGGAAATGGTAGCCATGAGAGTTGCAAAGCTCAATCCATATAGGAAAGCAAAAGTGACAGACAAATAGAGTTTACTGTAATTGTTATACTCCGGTAGATTGATGTCAAAAGTTTTCTGGTTCAGAATCCGAGTAATGTTGTAAGTCTGACCAGCAGCATCAAAGGTATGAGAAGAAATCAAGGGAAATCGTCTGGCTTGGAATGAGTTTGACCAGTAAGCAATGGGAGTAAGAACATAGAGGAACAATATGAACCCAAACAAGATGTTGATTATGGCAAATAAGGGTGTCGCAAGAGGACTTCCCAGGAAGGCTGCAACGGTAGACCAATCAAGACCAAAAGAGCCAATGCCAAGGCCGTTTAGGCCTGAACCTATCTGCTGGACTACGATTGAATCCTTCCAAATCCAGCAAACAAAGGACACAGCTGATATTGATTGGAAAAGGTAGCCTGGTACGATGTAGTAAGCAAAGCTTGATATGAAAACAATGATGAAGAATTGTAGCCTTGTATTCCCCCCCTTTGTTCTCTTTTCCTTCTCATGCAGCGCCCTACAGATTTCATTGACAAGTTGTTCAATTTGACTGGAAAATTGCCTGCAGTTTTCTTTTAATTATAGGGAAAAGAGTGAAATACCTGAATAAAGAAACTTGAACCAGGTTTGCTGGCCACCACATGTAAGGGGAATCGACTAGGAATTTTCTGAACAAGCCAGCCCATCCGTATCCAAGCAGCTGAATTTCATCAGGAATATATATACATATAAGGTTTTTTTGGTATCATTCCCATGGATCATAATATAAGTAATGATTTTTACCTGTGTAGTTTGTGCTAGCAACATGGCTGCAACTGGATGCAATGATCTGTGGTAGAAGGCCTTGACAATTGTGATGATATTTACTGCATAAACACCCCCAGCTCCACAGTTGGCAAATATAGTGATCAACACATGTTCTTTCAAAGTGAATGGCCCTGGATTCAATGAGAACGACCACTTGGTGAATGGAACTCGAATTTCTTTTTTCGGAAGAGTTGCAGCCATCAACTTCCCTATAGGAAGAACAACGATTTGAGCAGATATTGACGAGATAGAGAGCTGATTCTGACGATAGGCAAAGAACTGGTTGACAAAAGCAAGAATGCAGCAAGATATAAGCCCCAGAACCCATGTCCGAAATGTCAAGGCTGATTCTGTCGGGTCATCAGTGATTGGAACAGTCAGCCTGACTTCCTCAATGGGATTGTCATCCACTTCCTCTGTTGCCAATCAACAAAAACACTCATCAGGTACCATTCCCATCATTTGGAAAAATAAAAAGAAGAAAAGAAAGATTACTTATCATGAAACAAGGAGTATACCTTCTTCTACATTCTTTGCAGGTTGAACTTTGTCAGGAAATTGCGATTGAGGGGTCTTGCCTTCCACCTCCATTGTCATTCTCTCTCCTTCTAGCAGAAAACCAAATGGCAATACCTCACAAACAAATTAACACTCCTATACAACACCATAAATACATGCCTTCCCTACCCTATATTTAGCTAATTCTCTTCCTCCCTTTGACCTGCACATCTTGTAAATTTCATTTATAGTTCTTTACAGCAAATTGGTATTATGCAAGAAACCGGTTTTCCTGCCTCAAATTTGGAACTGTGGTCAAGGGGTAGAATACCCCAATGATCCTACTTGGACAAGAATCTTATTCGTAATTAACCCCTAACCAATATTTCAGGAAGGCGAAAAAACTATTATACTTAATATATTTTAATGAATCTTTTCTTGAAATTACAAGCTATGGGTTCTTTTCTTAACGTGAATCTTATCACTTTATACTAAAGATAGATATAGACGGTTGTTTAACTAGAACTAGACTTATTCCTTAAGTAGGTCTCTTTGACATAATAGAATTTCAAGTTTTGTAGGATCTGTCACTTTGGTTTTTTTTCAATTGTTTTCGGAGATATATTCTTATCCATGAATTGTGGGATGACAATGATTTCCTATCCATTATTAAGAGCTCATAATCAAAGTTTACAAATGTAATTTATAATTTAGAATTAATATCAATAACCCATAATTTGAACGTAAACTTATTATATTAAAATATCACAAAGGGATAAAAAGGTAAAAAAAAGGTTTGAAAATTCCACTCTTTAAGATGATTTTTCTCATTAACATAGTAAAATCTGACAGCTAAGTTCCATCAAACAAATGTAGTAATTATATTAAAAGAGAGAGGATAATGGATTTTCCTTAGAGGAAAAATGATATCAGGCAAGAAAAAAGAGAAACGGATGAGAATATCTAGCCATGATTTGATCATGTCAATCTTCAATTCTCTGAAGATAGTTTTTTTGATAAGATTGAAAATTATAAATCTTCATCAGATTTCATGCCAGCTATATATTATCTATTTTTCTAGTTTAGATAATATATATCGTCTGTTTTTATAAAAACTTTATTACTATAGAATCATGATGATATGTTAATAAATATATTTAAAAGTATTTTGATTGTGAATATAATGAATTTTTGGTATCGTTTTTAATAGCTATACTATACATAGTATTATACATAAAGCAATTCATGATCTTAGCATGTTCTTCAAGCTATGGTTATATTAAAACAAGGCCAGGCATGGAATGGGAAAGCATGCGACCTACCTACCACCCAACACTCTACCTCTATATATAGGCAAGTGTTTGGTTTCATCTCACAGTTGATTCACTAGGACGTGCCATTGTTCAACTTCAACATGGGGTCTATGCATATTGCAGGAAGCAATGGCTTTGGTCATAACATGGAGTTCATGTCGCAGGCTTAGCTTAGAAAACAGGTAATAGGAGATCGATATAGAGGACTACACTGCTGTGTACACTAATAAAGATCACCCTCTCCCAATGTTTCTTAAGGTAGAAATCAGATTTCTTTGTTGATCTTCTTCTTGAATATAAGAAATATGATGTCCAGCTTTAAGTGCTTAACAAATCATCGTGTCATCGTGATGCGTTAAATTCAGGAGTTGATCTGATGATGATCATGAGGAAGCTTCACCTGTATGAAAAGGTTGTTTTTCTTTTTTTTTTTTTCCTTTTATTTATTATTATTATTTTTTCCATTCCTTTTTGTTCCTTTCCGTTTTGCTAGTTGTTCATGTGAATTGTTGTTACTCATGCAAGGTCCATGAACCATGATCCTGGATTAGGAGAACAAACCAAGCTCAAGGCAAGCAGCACTTTCTGCAATTGCACTTCTGGTTTGTTCCTCTCTCTCTCTGTCTCTCTCTCTCTTCCGTAGGCATTTTTTATTCTATCGAAGCAATGTTAGCTTTCATTTGGAGTCTGGAAAAGGCCAAAAGCTGGGGCAAAATGGCCTCGACATTGACTTCTGCATGCATGACAGTGATTGCAACAAATCTGTGGCTGATATGCAAAGTTCAACAACGTACGTACGGTTGCCTTGTATTTAGGTTTTATCAGAGTGGAAGTTTTTTTTTTATTGTTAATTATCATTGACCACTTGGGAAAGCAAGCAGCGGTTTCTTACTCCCATGGAAGGGTAGGTGGGACAACAAGCATAAATGCAATACACACAGCTCTTCCTTCTATTCTTCTGGAACTTTTATACCTTCGAGACAGATTCTTTTGGGAATGATTACAAATAAAAGATAGCTAAAAGCAATCAGTTGGCTCTCACCCAAGGATGTTCCTGTCATGACAGAGAGGTCAATGGTTCTTATACTCTCATATATGTAGACTCTCCACGTCTTTAAGGTCTTTAGATACCTCAGGAGCAAAGCAGGAGAACCCGAATTTAATCAACAGTAGAACATGTTAGAATTCTTCACCATGGAGCTATGAAGAATCCTGACGAGGAAGGAGTTAGAATTGGCTATAGCCCGTGGAAGCGGGTTTAACTGTATCAGTCCAGGTCTTGTTTAACTGTTTGCTTACTCAGCTTCCAAGCTGTTACGTGGTGCTATGCCTGCTTTGATATGAAACTTGGGTTTTAACACTTATTAATGTAATGAACAAATGTTTCCTGTACTGATCATATGTGTTAAGTAATCTTGTACTTGAGTTACTTCCGAATTTGTTTACATTCCTGCTTTTAAAGTAGAATCTTTCTGCTATTTCGACTTTTCTTTCTGAATTTGATCAGTTTCAGTGTTATGAAGGTTCAATTTCTTTGAAGTTGATGTTCATAGGATTTTGGTTCTTCCTTATTTGCAGAAGTTGCTGCAGGTCTAGGCATAAGGAATGCAACAGAAAACTTTGACGGATCCTCAGACAGATGCAAACGTACCTACAATCCTTTATGCAAATGTGTTAAATTTTCCCATGATGTTTTGTTCGAATCAGGATGGTATAGAAAAACTAAAAGCAGTGATGATAACAATAACAATGCTAACAACAAAGAAGAATATAATGCTTTGTTAAAGGGCAGTAGAACAGAGGTGAAGAGAGCGTAACTTTGTTATTAACAAATAAGGTCTTATATTCCCATTGATAAGAACAGCTTTAACAAAACAGCTTCATGCAGCTTAACACATAGAGTCATGGAGTTTAAACAAAAGACTCGCACAGAATCTAAGTGGAATACATATGCCTTCATGTCCACGTGGATGCAAGCATTACAAGTTAACAAACAACAATAGTAAAACAATGCGTCAGGCTAAGCTTGATGATACTGCAGCACACAGAAATGAAGTGCATGAATGAAAGGAATGGATTTCTGGCAAAATAATGCATAGACGTTTATACTTTCATGGCTCAAAATGATGGTGTTAATGCATGGGCCGGGGTGGTTCTCTGTCAGGTTTTCCCCTACTCAGCCTGATTAAAAGCTAGAGCATCAGCCATGCCAAAGCTGTGATAAGCTGGTCGTCGTTGTCATGTTCTTCTTGTTGCTAATGGTATGTACTTTTTTCCCTACCCGTCTGGATTCTGTGGCATCCAGTAGAATCCTCCTCTTCAATCAACGAGTATATATATAGTAGCTTATAATCTAAAACAGGTTTGCCATTAATAGTACTTGCTCCCTCTGCAGGCTTATTTTACTTGGCAGATATGCAATTTAATATGTGCAGACATTAGGATGTAACTTTGATCGATCTATCTATCTTTTTAGCTTCAGTTTAGCTCATGGGTTCCTGTTGGATCACGACAGTGATGACCACAAATATATGGGCAGTCTTCACCATGGATCTGTGAAGAATCCTGACGAGGAAGGAGTTAGAATTTGCTATGGCCATGCAATCTTTCAAGGGGAAAAGAAACTAAAGCCATTACAATTTGTTTTATGTTTTTAACAAATTTCATGTTGTTCTTAATTATTCCCAGCAAGAACAAGAACTTCAAAGAACTGGACATCCTTTAGCTACAACCCCTGGTGCTGTAGGGCAACTTGCCAAAGGACAATGATCAGTAGCTGCCAAACCCCACCAATCTGGACCAATAGTATTGTCTAAGGATTGTAGGATGAAAAATATGAGAACTCCCATGATGGCAACCCCAGCATCCATGGCAGCCGACAAGACATATGTATGTCTAGCCCACCATCCCTTGTACCTTTTGTAAATATACCAGTTGAAGAAGATTCCGACCACTCCCCAGCAGATGTAGTGCACAGGTTTAGCAGATGGTAGACCTATTGCTCCCGCAAGGATAACCGGCATGTGAATGAACCTGATCCACTTGTTCTCTGGGAATTTGAGGGACAACAACCAGACAGGAAAAGGAGCAAGAAAGCCAATGAGGAAGAACCAGTTCAACTGAGGGTAGTTGCCAAGGCTTGTGAACATCCTGAGCGGGCCTATGACTCCCCATATGATTGAAGCATTGTAAAACACATTGTCTCCAGGACATACCCAAGGACTCCCCGTTGGCAGCAAATCCGGAAGACAGATATTCTCTACAGTTGACAGAAGCCACCATGTTGTTGCAAAGTAGCAAAATGAAGAAACTATTGTTCCTACTAACTGAATGTAGCAAAAACTTCAAGTTAGTAACATGTCGAAATCCAAAGTATAGCACATTGTTTATCAAATTATACTTTGATTATACCTGAACAATGAACATTGATTTGGGAGGGATCTTCATGTAATGGCCTAATTTGAGGTCCTGAATGAAGGTGAGAGCTTGAGCCATACTGATGTAACCATAGGTCTTGAAACAAACATTGGCAAGGGGCTTTCCAGGGTATATATACCCGATAATCAGCTCTGTGATCACATTCAGGCCTGGTTGCTGCACAAAAGGAAGAAAAGAATATCAATACGGCTTGCTGTTTTTTTTTTTTCTGCTTCTGGTTTATGTTCGTTCAAAAAGGACCATACCATGTTTGTTGTAGCTTGGATTATCCCAACAGGTAAGGTGAAAAACAGTGCAATGGCACATGCTAGCAGAACCCCCCACCATGGGAGCTGCAGCTGTTTGCCGAACCCTTCACAGACGAAGATGGAAAGAGCCATAGTTGAAACTAAGACAATATAAAACCACCAATCCGGTACTTCATCATAATTCTTCTTCATCAATCTTGTGTGCACATCACTAAATTTATCCTTCACTGCAGATTTTGTCTTTCTCCACATTGTCCAGATTGTCCTGTAAAGAAGGAAGTGTAAATCAAGGGAGAAAAAGCATATGAATAAGAAATTAAGGAAGTACTGCAAGGGAAGCTTACTTTCCCTCAAACAGGGCGACATGGGAAAGGCTGGCCATTAGAGTTGCAAAGCTCAATCCGTAAGTCATGGCAAATACAACACTCATATAGAGTGTGCTATATTCATTATAGCTAGCTAGGTTGATATCGAAAGTTTTGTCGTTGAGAATTCTAGTGATGTTGTAGATTTTTCCAGCAGCATCGTAAGTGGACGAAGTGAGCAAAGGAAATCGTCTAGCTTGGAACGCATTCGTATAGTAAGCAATGGGAACAACGATATAGAAAATCAAGAAAAACCCGACTAAGGTATTGACAATGGCAAATAAGGGTGTGGGAAGAGGGCTCCCCAAGAAAGCAACTGTAGACCAGTCAAGACCAAAGGAGCCTATGCCAAAGCCACGTAACCCTGAACCAATCTGCTGGGCAGTAATTGAATCCTTCCATATCCAGCAAATGAAAGAGATGGCTGATATTGATGGGAAAAGGTATCCAGGAATAATATAATAAGCGAAGCTACATATGAAAACAATGATGAAGAACTGTAGCCTGGTAACGCCTTTCTTGGGTCTCGTTTCTTTCTCATTTAATGCCCTGCAGTAAATTGGTATTGTTCAACAAAAAGAAAGAACTTTTTGGAACTTTGCCTGCAAATTACTTCTAAAGAGAGGAAAGTGAAGTACCTGAACAAGGAGACTTGGACAAGATTCGATGGCCACCACATGTAAGGGGAATCAACCAGGTATTTTCTGAACAAACCAGCCCATCCATATCCAAGTAACTGGGTTGATTTGATCAAATAACAAGAAATATGTATATCAGGTTTCTTTGTACAATTTCCTTGTATCAAATCAAGCTGTTGACGATGGTTACCTGAGTAGTTTGTGATAGCAATAAGCCTGCAAACGGGTGCATTCCTCTGTGGTACAAGGCTTTAACAATTGTGATGATATGTGTTGCATAAACCGAACCTGATCCACAGCTAGCAAGTATAGTAATCAACACATGTTCTTTCATGGAAAATGGTCCCGGATTCAAAGAGAAGGACCATTTGGTGAATGGGACTGAAATTTTGGTGTCAGGAAGGGTTGCAGCCATTAACTTCCCTAGAGGTAAAACAACAATCTGGGCTGAAACTGAAGTGACATAGAGTTGATTAACCCGATAGCTAAAGAAGTCATTCACAAAGGCAAGAATGCATAAAGACAGCAGCCCCAGAAACCAAGTTCGGAATGTCAAGGCTGCTTCTGTTGGATCATCTGTGATTGGCACTGTCAGCCTTACTTCCTCAATGGGACAATCATTCACTTCTTCATCTTCTGATAAACAAAAACCAAACAATATTCCATCAGCTTCACAAACCAACATGTGCTTGACCATCATATAGGAAGAGAACTTACCTTTTCCAGTGATTCCATGTTGATGTTTCTGAGGCAATCGAGATTGAGGAAGCACCTCCTCCTCCATAGCTTTTCTTTTTCACAAAGAAGAGAATAAGAAACAATGGAAAAACTTTTCAGCAATGGTAACAATTCTGCAACCGAATGGCCGCCAACCTGTTTTATACACAGGTCTTTTAATGTTCTTGGAATACTTAGTTGTTGACAGCAAATGAAAATAAGTATAGATCTTCCTTATTTGAGATGGATTCTTTTTAAATGAAAATAGTTAAGATTCTCTACAATCCCGGACAGATTCACTGGTCAAAGACAAAAAGCTGGCTGGCTAGTGCCCGTAGAGTTCATATGAATCAGTTACAAATAGAATTTCTTCACTTTATCCTTTAAGCAAAAAATTAACAAGGAAATTTTTTTTTTTGGGAAACTTAACAAGGAATTTTGATCTAAGGAATATCAAATACTATCAAGTTTGTATATATGTCTCTAACCATTCTCCAAAAAAAAAAAATTGTACAAAGACTATTTATGTATGTATTTATATAATATATATATATTAAATGTTATTTTCTCTAGTCAAGTTTAGAAAATAGAGTACTTTATGGTAAGAATAGGTAATTTTATAGGAATTTCTATGAAGGGAAACATCTTTCCAAACAAATTCCCAGTGGTCCACCTACCTTTTATGAAAAAAATTAATATATAGATATATATTAAGTTTTTGTAAAGAAAAAGAATATGTATTTTTTTATGAAAAAATAATATTTTTAATGAAAAGAAAAGCATATATATATTTCCAAAAACAAGAATATTAGGTAAAATAAAATTTAATAATAATGCATAAAAAATAAAATAATTAATTATTTTTTCCATTTTATATCTAAAAAAAGTTAGAGAATTAAAAGAAAAAAAGAAATTTATTTCATAAATTTTTCATAAGCCCAAACTCATAAAAACCCAAGCCCAAACCTTTGAAACAGAGTGGCCGAAATTCAGCCCAAAGAAAAAACAGACTCTTCCCTCTCACCTCTCAGTGTTCTGTTTATACCTTATGCAATATTACTATAACCTTAAAAAGGCTTAAACCCTAGCCACTCCAGAAGAAGGAAGCTTCAAAAACCCTAATTCCCAGGTAAATTCATTGCTTCTTTGTATTTTTTTTTTCAGTTTTTGCCCTTTGGGTATTGCTTAATTTTAACAGAAGAGCTCAAACTTCTTTCTGTATTTTTTTTGCAGCTTCAAATGGCTGCTAATAAGAAAAAAGGAGCAAAAGCAAAGAACCCACCTCCGAAAAAGAAGCAAAGGAATGATTTTTTCTCTGAAAAGAAGAGACCCACCAGAAAGGATGAGGTTTTTGATGATGGTTCTGATAGCCGGAGTCAAGAAGAGGAAGAAGTAGAAGAAGCAGAGGACTTATTGGATGGGGATGAAGAAGTGTCTGATTTCGATGATGCCTCTGAAATTTCTGATGATGATGATGCTCCTTTGGCTGATGATTTCCTCCAAGGAGGTGATGATGATAATGAAGGTACCATTTTGTCTTTCCCCTGCAAATTCTTTATATGCAGTACTTAGATTGAATTTAATGCCTTATAGTCATATGATTTGAGCTTCAAGCTTTTGGTTATGTAATAATTTCTTGAAGGCACAAATTTGTTACATATCAGTCATGGTCCTTGAGACTTCTATGAATGACAAACTCAAAATTCTAGTTTGCATATCTTGCTCTTCAAGGAGCCAATTACCTACGTCATGAGAGTGGAAATTGGTATGTGGGGCGTGACCCTCCAAATATAAGGAAAAAGTTAAGAAAAATTGAACACAATTATGTCAGAAACATATCCTGTGCCTAGTAACATAGCTTTACATGCAATAGCATTGCAAGTGTACTGTATGGTTGATAAATGTAACTGTACGTTATGCTATCTGATTGATAGTGGTTGTTGTCCCACCATATTGTTGCAGATGGAGGATCAGGTTCTAGTTCAGGTTCTGGTTCTGATTCTGATTCAGATGAAACTGATATTGAGGAGAAGTCAAGGGCTATTGATGAACAAAGGGCGAGGGAAGAAGAAGATGCACAGGCAGAAATGCAGATGAACATTAAAGAAGAGTCTGATGAGTTTAGATTGCCAACAAAAGAGGTCTTCTATTGAATTTGATTCTATTATCTGTTATCATCAGTTTAATTCTGCGAAGTTACTTATATTTCCTTCCTTTTATGTAATTGCTCAGGAACTTGAAGCAGAGGAACGACACCCACCAGACCTTGCAAATCTTCAGATGAGAATAAAAGAGAGTGAGCGACTTTTCCACTAATTTTCTATGTTTCATGGTTAGCCATTTATAATCTAATTTTCTAAGATTTTGTTCATTGATTTGTAGTTGTTCGAGTGCTCTCAAATTTTAAGGATTTGAGGCAAGAGGGAACCACAAGGAAGGATTATATTAACCAACTTAAAATGGACTTGGGTTCATACTATGGCTACAATGAATTCCTGATTGGGGTTTTGGTTGATGTAATGACCATCTTGTTCTATGTTTTGTTGTCTGCATTACTTCTCCCTTCTGCGCTACATGGCTCTTTTTCTTCCCCTTTTTGGAAAAGAGGGGGGGGGGGGGGGGGGGGGGGGGGGGGGTTAATTCCGTGTTTCTTTCTGGGGTGAAGGATGTTGATCAATTATTGTATTAACACCTGACATCATTTTACAGATGTTTCCAGTTGTTGAACTCATGGAACTTATTGAAGCTTTTGAAAAGCCTCGACCTACATGTATTCGAACAAACACATTAAGGGTGAACTTACATTTCTCCGTTGCTGTCTTCATCTTTGACTTGTTACGCTTTCTCTGGTCAATGTAAAGTCGTAATCTCCTTCTATATGCAGACTCGCCGACGGGATCTGGCTGATGTTCTCTCCAAAAGAGGAGTAGAGCTAGACCAATTAAGCAAGTGGTCAAAAGTAAGAGCTACCTTGTTTATTTTTCCATTTTTTAAAACCTCTGTTTACTAATGGATAACACAAGGAATGCTAATGTTCTATTTCTAGGTTGGGTTGGTGGTATACAATTCACATGTGCCCATTGGTGCCACACCAGAGTATCTGGCTGGCTTTTACTATGTATGTGTTCTTTTATTGTACTTTTTTCATCCTAACAATGTAATTATTTAGCAAAAGAAAAATGTTGTTGTGCTTTCGTTTACCTTTCTTTTCTCACTAACAGATACAAGGTGCAAGCTCTTTTTTGCCGGTTATGGCTCTTGCTCCTCAGGAAAAGGAACGAGTAGTAGATATGGCGTGAGTTACTCCATTCTGTTAGCTTTACTTATCTTTGCCTTGCCTTTTTATTTGTCGATTTCTGTTTTGCTACAGATGTGGTGTTATGGTTGAAGAAAATCTTCCATGTGAAGCATGTCCCTATATGGATATTCTAGGAAACAGATGTTGGGGTTTATAGTGATAATTTTCAGTATCTCTATTGCAGCTTTGTGACAGCACAGTCACTCTATTTTTAAGCTTGCATGGTTATAAGATTTGCAGAAAAATCCGGATTAACCAAACTCCTGTTTAAGGTTGGGGCATACACTAATTGATGTTAATTGTAATTGGATGGGTCATTACTGTTTACAGGTGTGTGGTTACATATAATCTCAACATCAAGTCTCGATGTATCGTCGGATTCATGCACTTACATACTATGGAGTGTATATTTTTTACTAGTGTAAATCCTAAACATTCATGTAACTACTAGTTTGTTCCCCTCTAGGTAGCCAAGATGCCTGTCAAGTGCTCCACATTTCAATTAGATGAGGATAAATTGCTTCAACTGAGTTTTGAAGATATAAACATCCCAGTAAAGAAAAAGATATCTTTAGTAATTGCTATTTTCTCCCTTTTGATTATAATTTGTGCCTGTTGCAGAGCTGCACCTGGTGGTAAAACGACTTACATTGCCGCACTCATGAAAAATAGTGGTATGTTATAGTCTATGTTTCATTCAAATTGTTGAATATTTTGGTATGCTCTTTGTTCAATATATCTTTTACAGTTTCTGAATTCATTTTAATATTTGCTGATATTGTGACCAGGAATAATTTATGCAAATGAAATAAGGGAAGCAAGACTAAAGTCACTTACTGCAAATTTGCATCGCATGGGGGTGACAAACACGATAGTTTGTAACTATGATGGGAGGGAGGTTAGCATCTTTCTGCCCACATAAGAATACAGTACTAAGTTTAATTTTTTGATGCATTTTTCAACTTCAACGGCTTCAAAAGCATGAACGGTTGAATCCCTTTTCTTTCTTTTTTCTCTTCATTTTCTTGTGTGCTTCATTTTGGGGTGTCTCAGATTAGTTGTAGGTCAAAAACAAAGTGCATGAACATGTCCTTTGTATTTTCTTAGTGGACCATATGCACTTAGTGGATGCTATACATTTCTAACCCTTTGCTCTTTTGTCTTAACGTTCAGCTTCCCAAGGTTTTGGGTCAGAATTCAGTTGATAGAGTATTGTTGGATGCCCCTTGTAGTGGTACAGGAGTAAGCATTTGTTGTATCTTTGTTCTCCTTTGGTGGCATTGCTCTCTGGTTTCTGCCTGAACTGAAAGACCTCTACTTTTATGGCACAGGTTATAACTAAAGATCCATCCGTTAAAACGTCTAAAAGTTTGGAAGATATACAAAAATGTGCCCATTTGCAGAAGGTATGTTCTTTCTATGAGCTTTTTGCCTTTTTGGTTGGGAACTGCAATAATCTTCCTGAGTTGAAAGTCAGCATAAAAGGGGAGGAATTGATCCTTTTGTAAGAAGTATATGTTGCATATGCTAAGAGATTAAACCATGCAATCTCAAAGTTTTTTTGTTTGTAGCAACTGATACTCGCTGCTATTGATATGCTCGATGCAAATTCCAAATCTGGTGGATACATTGTTTACTCCACGTGCTCCATGATGGTTCTAGAGGTTTGTTTAAGGATTCTTTTCTGAATATCCTACCATGCACTTTTTGTCCTCCCTTTTTCTCATCTAGACCAGTATCTTTATAGAATGAAGCGGTCATCGACTATG